ATTAAATTAAAATCAAATACTTCCTCAAAATATTAATTTCACGAAAATATTCAATTAAAACTTAATTTATTTAGCAATTATGAACAATTTAAGTGTATTTTCATGCACTTATCAGTGTCCCAGGGGTGCCCCGGGGGTGTCTGGTGGTCTCCTAGGTGTCTCCCGGCGGTCTCCCGAGGGTGCCCCGAGAGGACCCCGAGGGGACCCCGGGGGTGCCCCGGGTGTGCCCCGGGGGTGCCCTGGGGGTCTGCCGGGGGTGCCCCGGGGGTTCCCCGCGGGGGCCCCGGCGGTGCCCTGGGGGTGTGCCGTGGGTGTCCCGGGGGTGCCCCGGGAATCTCCCGGGGGTCTCTCGGGGGTTTCCCGCGGGTGTCCCGGGGGTCTCCCGTGGGTGCCCCGGGGGTCTCCCGGGGGCGTCCGGGGGACTGCCGGAGTCTCCTAGTGGCCTCCCGGGGGCGTCCTGGGGGAAGTCCCCTGGGTGTCCTAGGGGTGCCCCGGGGGTGACCCGGGGGGTCCTCGGGGGTGTGCCGGGGGTGCCCTGCGGGACTCCCAGGGGACGCCCGAGGGACTCCCGTGGGTGTCCCCGGGGTCTTCCGGGGATGTCCCGGGGGTTCTATCTAAATGCAGCCTTCAACTTTGTAATTTCTGCATTCAAGCTATGACTTTTCTCATTCAAGTGGGCAAAACTTTCAACTTAATCTGGAAGAGGATCCCTTGAACTGTAATTGTCTTGATCACCAAAATTCACAGATTAAAATTTTCTTCACAAAAACCAAGTTGATTAGCAATTAATCAGACCAAAATCAACTACACAAATGTATCTTTTCTTCACAAAAATATATTTCCATGCTAATAATGATTTACATTTCTGTCGAATGCATCAATAACATTGTCTTCATAGGTTGTTCTTGGTGTGCGTTGTCTTCACAACCGGATTCAACCTTCACAAACATTGAATAGGACCTTAGAGTTCTACGTTTTCCGAGCTATATTCGCCACTAATACTTTTTCTACTCTACTCATAATTGTTGTGCGTCCTCGTATTCCCAGTACTGTTGCAGCTGCTTGCCATGGATGAAAACCTTCAAAAAGTTGTAAACAAGGAAGAGAAGATAATAAAATGGAAGTTAGAATGAAAATGGGGAAGATAACCGATATTCATCGGGTTACAAATGGGTGACACATGTAATTTTCATGACTCAAAATAACAAAAACGGAACAAACGATGTTATGAATGAAAGTTTATAGTTGGAAGGAAATTTTTATAATAAATTCTTATTTTTATAATATATAAACACATGATAAACTACAACATTTTTTTGGTTCAACAAATCCCATCTATCATTCAATTGGAATTATATTTTTTCTTTTTTAGGGAAAATGAAGTTAATATTTGTACTCTTCGAATGTTGACTAGAAGGAGTAAATGTAAGTGAGATTTGGATAAAGAAAAGGGCTATATAGTTTATATACAATGAATATAAGCGAATCAGGATTTGTTATTTGTTTGTGCACAACTAGCTTTATATGTACACTTTACTTCTTTCGTATGAACTAAGCTTCGTTAAATAAAAGGAATAAAACTTGTCCAATAAAGAATAAAGTTGGTATTTGCTCGGCTGCAGAAACTTATCATGACTTCTCTTTCACGGCTTTAGATTTGCTCCCCATTATGTGCCTTTTCTTCTAACACGGATAGTAGGTTTTTGATATTTAATTTTTATATTAACCTGTAATATTATATATGTGTATGTGCAAACAATTCATAAGAGATCATATAACACATAAAAATTTGTAAAATTCAAAGGGTTATCTCACTCACAAAATTCATCTATAATTCCTACATTAATTAGCCCGAATGTGAATTTGAATTTGAATTGTGGTGTTCAAAATTTATTATGTTATAGAAGAAAGAAATTAAAGAGCATTAAAAGTGACTTGCCATAACGTGAATCTATTAAAAGCTTAGACCTACCACTCACTTCTCAAATCGAAATTGCCGAAAAATTTTAATGACCCCGGATCTAACTTTAGAACAGTTCAAATTTCCATCAAGTTAAATTCATTTAGACGTTTAGTTGTGTTTTTTTTTTTTTTTTTTTTTTTTTTTCTGCTTTGGTTAGTGGGTTTGGAGTAAATTGGGAGTCGACAGACGTTTCAGTTTCCATATGCATTGTGATTCTGACTCGCTGAGCTGTTGTTGCGGGCCGATTCCTTGCTCTCTGGCACATGAGATCCTCTTGGCACTTTTTGCATGCATTATTCCATCTTCTTGACTTCAGAAATACGAAGCCCAAGCCAATCCTTACTCAAGACCAAAAGAATCGTACTTCTAGTGTGGGTTTACAAATTCGATAATTTTTCGGTGGGACACAAATATCAAACACACAAAAAAACAAATTGAGTGACTAACCTATTTGAGTTTAGAATTCAAGTTTTGTTATTGTAAAAAATTCTTATAAATAATCACATTTAATTTTTTTATTACAGTAAAAAGCTCTCACATAAAGTCACATCTCAATTCAAATTAAAAATTTGAATCAGCGAACTAAACGGGCCCTAGATTTATTTGTTTTACAACCTTAACTTGAGTTGTATATGTGAGAAAAACACTATAGCAAAAAAATGTTAAATTTAAATTTTTATAAAAGAAAACATTGTAACAATTAAAATTGAGTTGTGACTTGAGTTGTGAAATTAACAAGCCTTAAAATTCTCTATTATTAAGTTAGGAACATACATATATTACTTTATGAGATGAAATACATGTATTGAATGATACGCTCCAAATATAAATAACTTCTTTAATCATGTGATTTTAAAATATAGGGCAATAATCACTAATATAAATATATATATATATATGATACTAAATCAAAATATGAGAGTTGCACGAAACTTATAAAAATCTCACGCTTTAAATTGTGCTTTATGAATTGATATTTCTTTTTTCATATATCACCACAAAATACCCAACTTTTTTTTCATCTCCGAGTGAAGTTGATTGATTTATGGCAGCAAAAGTTAATTGAGAAGCAAACAAAACTAGTACGTTTATTAGAACTAGTCCACCTCACCTATGTATTGCAATACGAATATGTCATACCTTTTGTGAATCAGTTGATGCTAAATTTGAAAATGATGTTATTACACATTGCTCCTTTTATATATATAAATATATATATATATATATATATAAACACTGAAGTTTGCAATTTTAATACTTTTATCATTAAAGCGTTACTTTTTAATTATTTTAATCATGTTTATTCATCGAGTGATCCATACGCAATTAAAGTTAGTAAAAAAAAAATTGCTCTTTACCATCACATTTGTTTTAAACATCGGCGTACGTCTCAATGATAAAGCTATCAAAGTTACAATTTACAGTAATTATTAGATAATTTTTTTAATATATTTTGAGTTAGGAGGGCAAAATGAGAGAATTGTTATTACTCAGGATTTAGATAATTTTGTTTTGTTTTGAGTTGCTTGGGCAAAATGAGAGAACTGTATGAATCCAGAATCACTTGATTCAGAATCAGCGTTTATTTATAATTCTGAATCAGTGTTTGGTTTGAATGATTCTAAATTATGATTTAGAATCTGATGCGATGTTTTAAATCAGAATCACTTATAGTTCTAAAACTATCTCCTCTTAATTTAAAGTGATTCAAATCCTTAATTCTGAATCATAATTTTAGAATCATAATTTTAATTTTAAAATTCTTTTAGAATCATAATTTTAATTTTAAAATTATGACACTGATTTAAATTTGTATACTAAACGAACTCTAAAAGAGTCTAGTACACCACCAGTAGTGCAAGTTCATCAGAATATTGGAACTCAAAAGAGCTATCTCAAAAACAACACTCTTAAGTAGTCCGTACAAAACTTCTCATGTATAAACATGGGACCAAGAGCCACCACCACCACCACCACCGAAGAAGGCCACCAACACCACCATTATATGATGGAGAAGAACGAGATAGAAGTGGTGGTGATGAAGAAATTCGGAGACGAGCAGAGCAATCTGTTGGACAAGTTCGAGCGTCTCTCCTTCGAGGTTCACCTCAACCGAGCCATGCAGCTCGGCCGCAGCCTCTCCGAGCCCGGGGCCATGGTCCGCGCCAAGCTTCCGCCGCCGTACACCGCGGCTTTTCTGGCTGAGCCGCCGCCGGCTCTGGTGTCACAAGTCAGGCAAGGGCGTCGCCGCCGGTTGACCGGTCTCAAGAAGGTATTGAAAAAGCTGCTCAAATCGATTACTAGTGGTCGTAGTAATAATGGTGGTGGAAAGAAGGAAGTGCAGCCTGGTCCCAGAGATCCCAGGTTTTGGAAGAATTTTAGTACATCTCTAAGGTTTTAATTTCCAAACGTCTCATTCTCGGAGATTTTTTTTTTTTTTAATTTCTGAGGTTTTAATACTTAGTATAAGTTATAAGTATATACTTGTGTGAATTCCAAGGGAAATTAAGAGGAAAACTATAGTGATGATAGTGGTATATGTATGCACTTTTCTTCACTAGCATTATATACTATAATAATAATATATTACAATAACATTTTAATCCAAGATGCTATCAAAAAAATTTCTGGTTTTGGTAGATGATAAATATGTGTGTGTATGAAGTGTGATCCTTCCGTTGCTTCACATTTCTTCACTTTCTTTCAACCAATGTTTACAAACTACCAGGAAAACCCAAGTCCTATGGAGTTTGCCAAAAAGTGATCTAGTTCAATTTGGAAATTTAACATCTTTTAAGAATGCCTAAATTCAAAAAAGAATCGGAAAGATAAGAGTAGTGTAAACAAAGGTCTACTCTTTAAAGAACATGATGTTTATAGTCATTATTCATATTGGAAGATAGTGCTTTATATTAACTTGATTTTTATCATATTTTGATATTTTTCTTAAAAACAGTGTGTTCAATTGTCCTTTTCTCCCTTAATAATGTAATGGAAAGTGGAAACATTAATTTGCAAGCCTCATCTAGTTTGTAATGACATTTTGGTGAACTCATATCTTTTCACGTGGAAAGCAAATTAATTAGTTTAATTATCATACGTGATACGATGATTATGTTAATTGTGATACAATGATTATGTTAATTGTCACGAGTACGCTGATATGTCTTACGAAAAGAAAAGAAAGAGAGAATCTTTACAATAGAATAAGCTACATATTCTGCTCCACTGATGATTAATTTGCAAGCCTCATCTAGTTTGTAATGACATTTTGGTGAACTCATTCTTTTCACGTGGAAAGCAGATTAATTAGTTTAATTATCATACGTGATACGATGATTATGTTAATTGTGATACGATGATTATGTTAATTGTCACGAGTACGCTGATATGTCTTACGAAAAGAAAAGAAAGAGAGGATCTTTACAATAGAATAAGCTACATATTCTGCTCCACTGATAAAGAATGTATTTTTACCATTTTAATAATTAAATTTATAGTATAAATAATTTTGTGTAACGCATAAAATTTTGTATAAATTCAATTGTTAAAAAATTATTTTAACCGTTAAAATTTAGTGTCCTCACCAGTGAAGCAAAATAAATTGCTCCATCTGAAGATTCCAGTCAAAGAACAGAAAAATTACATAACAGAAAAAGCACATAACAGCGCATGTCGTTAGACCAAAGTGTACCAAAGAGTATTTAGGCAAGTACGGTGACATATGTTATCCGTAGTACAAATTTTTTTTTTTTGCTGGTTAATTATCCGTGGTGCAATATTATTATCAGTACAAAATCCACTAATAATGACCTTCTGCCACGAATATGTATCATTTTCAAAAGAAAATCTGCACAACACATGCGTCCACATCACAGTAATCCACCAAACTCTTCATGCCTTGTCTAGTTTTTTCACCCTCCACAATTGTCCAATGTCCCTCAAAATCTCCTCTGTATCTGTATGCCAATCCAATCTGCTCCAGAAACTACTACAAACTCAATTACAACAGAACCCACCAGGCTAACCTACTTGCTCACAAAAATGATATTGTACAGCCAAAAGATAATAATTATAGACTGCCCATCAACGAAGATTGTCCAAAGTACCTCGATTATGACAAAACAGCCAGCATAATTCAAGTAAAAAATCTTGTTGAAAGAGTCCAAGTTTTACCCTCCAAAGAGAGAAGCAAAACCATCAAGATTTGGAAACAAAATGGTGAGTTTGAGACAGTATCTGAGTTCAATGATCTGCTTATGGCTTTATTGTTTGTAGATGATTCTAACCTTGCCTTGAAGCTGTTTGATGAAATGTCATTTCACGGTGTAGAGGCAGATTCTTGGACATTATCAATAGTTATAAGGTGTCATTGCAAGAATAAGGAATTTGATGAGGCTGAGAGAGTTTTAGGCTATATGCTGGAAAATGGGTTTGAACCAGAATTTTCAACCATTTCTATGCTCTTAAAGTCACTGAGCAAAAGTGGGAGATTGCAGAGAGCTTTGGGGGTTTTAGAGGTGGTGGGTAGAGTTGGATTTAAGCCAATGGTAAAGACATACAATTGTTTGCTAAAGGGTTTGTGTTATGTGGGGAGAGTTGAGGAAGCTTTTGAAATGTTGATGAAAATGAAGGAAGAGGATTTGAAACCTGACATTTATTCATACACAGCTGTTATGGATGGGTTTTGCAAAGTGGGTAGATCTGATGAGGCTGTGGAGTTGCTTAATGAGGCTTTTGAGATGGGATTGACACCTGATGTGGTCACTTTCAACACTTTGTTTAATGGGTACTGCATAGAAGGAAGGCCATTGATGGGGATTGGCATTTTCAAGAAGATGAAGGAGAGGAATTGTTCACCTGATTATATATGTTATAGCACTTTTTTACATGGGTTACTGAAATGGGGCCATATAAGGACTGCATTGAGGATTTATGAAGAGATGGTGGGAATTGGGTTAAAAGTAGAGGATAAGATGATGAATGTTCTTGTTAGAGGATTGTGTAGGATATCTTGTAAAGGAAAGGGCTTTTTGGAAAATGCGCACCAAGTGTTTGAGAAAATGAAGCACGAGGATTCTGTCATCGATCCTAGTACGTATGACGTAATGATTGGGGCTCTTTGCATGGGGAAGAAAACAGATGATGCTAGTGTCTATTTGCAGAAGATGATTAGAATGGGATATTCACCGCGGATGGTCACGTTCAATGGAGTAATTCGAGCACTTTGCTTGGAAGAAAAGGTGATAGAGGCATTGTCGATTTTGGTCCTCTTGAATGAAGAGGGTAGAATTCCCAGTAGAACATGTTATAACCTGTTAATTGATGAGTTAAATCAACATGGGAGCTTGTTAGGTGCTTCCAACGTATATGGCGCAGCGTTGAAGCGAGGTGTGATTCCGACCATGATGCCGCTGCAATGAAAAGATGTTATTCATGCTCTCATCTCTCTGCTTTCCCAGCTGTTGAGGAATAGATAAAGAAGTAACAGTACTAAATTTTTATTCCAACAGTTGTTTTTGCTGATATGTGATGATCTTTTGCTGATATGTGATGATCTTTTGCTGCCTGTAAATAGTCTTGTTGCAAGTATTTATCATCATACCATATGGACCATAAATTCATCATTGTTGAAGAAATTCCAAAGAAAACCTTTCCTTTGGTTTGATAGTGCTTGAAGAAACTTGGTTCACCAATATAATGCCCATAATATATGACCAATAGGTCAGATACACTCAATTTTCATTGATTTGATACAAAAATGGACGGAGCCAACAGGTGCACCAAGATGTTGAAGGTTTGCAAACCTTAAGTTAACCTTAATGTACAACTGTACAGATCTCATCCAGATAAGTCGTAGGGTAGAACTCTCTTATATGGTAAACATAAATAAATTACCAAAATTTGTGACTAATGCTAGAAAATGTACAACTTAGAAAGCTCATGCCCGACTTGTGTATTGCCCTGTTCTGGTATCGACTATAATTGTATCGCCTACATTTATGAATAGGGGGACATTAACGACTGCGCCCGTTTCAAGAGTTGCTGGCTTTGATCCACCTGGCAACAAAATTTTTAAACGGTGAAATCAGAAAGTGATAAGATGTATTATCAGCATCTATGACTAGGAACACCCAAAAATGAAACAGAAAACAAAATGTTTTTCAATATAAGTGTTCCAGAGATTTCACGTTCAGACAGAGAAGTTATTGCACGGATCATATCACTTTTTCAGGTCCACAAAACTTAGATGCATGCTTAGCACTAAGTAGATAATTAATTAGGTTGTTTCGTCTGCTATGACCCAATAAGAAAATTTCATCTGCCCTGGAAGTTTTAAAACATAGTAACAGATTGAACCAGCCCGATTTACGAGTCTTCGGACCTTATAAGCTTTAAATTCTTGTTACACTGATGACACTATACATTTGGTCCCTGAAAGTTTGCAAGAAAATCAAGTGGCATTACCTTGAGCCGTGTCACCTTTGAGTCCAGGATCAACGTCAGCCACAGATAGCTGCACTGTGATGGGAATTTCAAGACCAATAACCTACCAGCAAATAACAAAAGCAGTCAAGAAAATAACCATCATTCTAGTTTTAACTTATTGATGTCAGACAAAGAGTAGTTGTTCGTGCTGTGTTCATCAGTGATTGTAAAATGCTAATAGCATAATGGAGAGCTAAGCCTAATCATGCACGGAAAAAGAGTGCCTCGTTGACACTGTTCTTGAAGAATATTACTCTCTCCATGCAAAGAGTGAAATGTACTGCATACAATGCATAGCATATAGGGATTTGACAAGTACTTTTCCATTCCAAACAAGCAAATTGCAGTCCATTCCTTCTTTTAGCCACTTTGTTTTATCCCCAACATCAGCTTCATTTAGACGAGTTTCTTCAAATGTATTCTGCAAAAAAAGGAAAAAGGCATGCCTATAATGAAGGGAACTGAAGTATTGAGATTAACAATTACAGTGGTATTTGGTAGCTTCCATGAGAACTGGCCCCCGAGGGCAAGATTGGATCGATAGTCCATATCTTCCATAAGCATCATATATGAACACTTGAGCCAAAATAACATATGAGATGGTATGCTGAACAATACCAGGTCCATGAAGACAAACTGTGAACCATCTTTGTATGTAAACTGCTTAGTTTCCTTGTACACATTTGCCTCATCAAGCTGTGAAGCCAATAGTAACACATAAGAAGGAATCACAAACACACTTATATTGCACTTATAAAAATAATCTTCTAATTGCACATATTTGTCTCCTGAGAGTCGATAGAAATAACAATAAGTCAAAATTATGTTCCTGGGTGAGCCTATACTATATTGTTGTACAATACACGTTCTTAGGAAGTTTCACCAAACATCCCATACTGCGACAAGAATTCCGAAGTACATCTTATAAAATCTTAATTCCTGAATGTTATGTATCCTCAAAGAAATAGAGTTTATTTAATACATTATTTATTAATAAAAAAAAACAAAGAGAAAGAAACCATAAATAGCAATTTGTTACATCCAGGATGGACGGTCAACTCAGCAGTCTGATATTCAAATTTAATTATATAACTGCAGAACCAATAATGTCCCCAGCCTATTTTGCTGCACAAAAGTTCGAAGGCTAACCTATTAATGCTACTATGTGACACAACATCTACCTGAGGAGTAAAATGACATTAAGCAACTTTTATACTTGCCATTGAAATTTTTAAGGTGATTAATTACTTAATAGGTCTAACTATTCCAAAAGTTGCACTTTTGTCCCTAAAGTTTCAAAAAATTGTACCATGTTCCTAAAATAGTTTTACGTCAATTTGTTAAAAGAACGGGCGTATCATTAGACCCTAACTTCAGAAAGTGTCATATCACAACTCATTCAACTCTTTTTGTTTTCATTTTCTTTCATTTTCTTTTTCTTTTTCTTTTTTTTCAAATCCCTTTTAAGAACAAAGTCAGCTAAATTTCTCTTAGCCTCTTACACTGTAGTATCTATATTTGAAATTTCTAGAACGTATTGCATGTTTGGGAAGCAAAAATAAAAATGCAAAAACAAAAAAGATGAAAATAAAAATTACTCCCTTATGAATATAATGTAATCATATTTCTACAAGACGCATCAGTCTAAAGCAGGTAAGAGAAATGTACTAAATCCATTGAAATGCATTACACATAGAGGACTTCTTCATAGTTAGCAAGTGCCAATTGTAGGAATCTTAAATTATACAAGCGCAAGTGACAATTGTAGGAATCTTAAATTATACAAGCGACAAGACTACTGAGAAATCAATTTGTAGTTCAAAAGAATTTACCGTAACTCCAGCCCGAAAAGTTTTCTCGATTGTGTTTCCAGTTATGAAATTACGAATTTTGGTCCTCACAAATGCAGCCCCCTTTCCAGGTTTAACGTGAAGAAATTCTATAAAGGCCACACAGGTAGCAAACTATAAGCTTCCATTCACTAATGTAGTTGATGCTTTTATTAAAGCGATAAAAAGAGATATCCAAAAAATTAGTCAAGAACAAGATGTATGATTATGTTAGGTTCCTGTTTTCCTAAGTCCTTTTCAACTAAGTGTTTGTAATACAAAGTAAGCAATTGAATAGAAACTAACCAGAAAAAGGGTCTGGCTCCTTGTATTTCTGAAGAAAAACGAAAGATTACAAATAGAAGGGGGAATTCGAGGACCCCAAACCTCCAACAGTCTGATTCTCACAATAACAAAAATATTCGATGCCTCCCAACCCAACGGCTGAGCTATTTATACTACCCTACTCTAACCAACTGGACACTTCCCCCAGCGGGTTCCATTCCACTCACCCTCCCCAATCCCAAGACCAAGGATTCTAACAAAATTGCTAATCCCCACGACTAATCCTCCATCAAATTACCAACCAGTCCCTGCTGGTCATTCTTCCTTCTTCTAGCATAAACAAATTTAATAGGCGGAGATCTATCATTATTTCCTCCCTGGAGACCAACCTTGTCCCCAAGGTTGAAAGCTAGAAATTGGTCCCGAATCAGAGCCACAGGTTCCCAAGCGGCATCCCCCAAGGAAAGGCCCTCCCAACGAACCAGAATTTCTTCCACTTGGCGCCCCCCAACGAAGATGGTGCTAACGTCCAACACAGCAGCCGGCTGGACAACCAGTTCCAAGTCGGCTGTCAACTGCTCAGGGAGAGGTTGACCCTGGTACTGCTGCCCCCTAAACTACATTAGCTGGGAGACGTGAAAAACAGGGTGAATCTTGGCAGAAGCAGGTAAGTCTAAGCGATACGCCACCTGACCAATTTTCTCCAGAACGGCGAACGACCCATAGAAGCGAGGACTGAGCTTCTCATTAACCTTTTGAGCGATGGATTTCATGAAATATGGGCGGAGTCGAAGCAAAACCAGGTCGCCCAAAGCAAACTGTACCTCCCGGCAATGTTTGTCCGCAAACTCTTTCATGTGTTGTTGGGCCAAACAAAGGTGCTCTTTAAGGACATCCAGCATTTGATTTCTCTCCTGTAATTGGGTGGCAACTTCATGGACAACGGTAGAATCTGCTTGGAAACGCTGGATAGTAGGGGGTTCCCGCCCATATACCGCTCGAAAAAGAGAACACTTAATGGATGCATTATACGAAGTGTTGAACCAATATTCCGCCCAAGGTAGAAAAGACAACCAGGACCTTGGCTTGTCACAAGCAAAGCAACGGAGAAAGGTCTCCAGGCAGCGATTGGTTACCTCGGACTGGCCGTCCGTCTGTGGATGATAGGCAGTACTCGGCTGAAGCTTTGTTCCCTGTAGTTTAAACAGTTCTCGCCAAAACAAACTCATGAAAATGGTATCGCGGTCGCTGACAATCGAACGGGGAAACCCGTGTAGGCGAACAATCTCCTGAACAAACACAGAGGCTACCTGTTTAGCCGTGTAAGGATGGGCCAAAAGACAGAAATGGGCATACTTGGAAAGGCGATCCACGATGACCAAGATAGTATCCATTCCCTTGGACTTCGGAAGCCCCCCAATGAAGTCCATGGCTATATCCTCCCAAATTTGTTGGGGGATCGGAAGGGGTTGTAATAAGCCTCTCGGTGAGAGCGCTTCGGTTTTAGCCTACTGACACCGTTCACAGTGGGCAACAAAGTCCCTGATTGCTTGTTTCATGCCTCTCCAAAAAAAATTCGCCGAAATCCGTTTATACGACCGCAAAAACCCGGAATGCCCCCTATAACCGAACTATGGAAATCGTGGAGTACCTGAGGAGTCCAAGATAGAGGCAGCACTAACCGTTCCCGGAACCACAACAAATTGTTGCGAAGAACATACCCCTCCCCCACTGGCCGACCTTGGCGGATGGCAATAATGATGTCCCGACAGTCGGGGTCCTGGAGCTGGCCCTGCCGAAGTGCCGTCATGTCTACTGGATGAGGAATGGAAAAGGCTGCGAATTCCACCAGCGAATCGTCCTCCCGACGTGAAAGGGCATCTGCTACCCGATTCGCGGCACCTGGTTTGTACTGCACCTTAAAGTCATATCCAAGGAGCTTGGTGATAAGGCGTAGTTGATCAGGAGGTAACACACGCTGGTCCGTGAGGAATTTAAGACTCCGCTGATCGGCCCGGATAAGAAAATGCCGCCCCAAAAGGTAATGCCTCCATTTCTGAACGTCCAAGACAATAGCGAGGAGCTCCCGCTCGTAAACTGACTTCAAATGGGAAGAAGCGGACAGCACCTTGCTAAAGTAAGCGATTGGCTGACCCTCCTACATTAGTACCGCGCCCACGCCGCTGCCCGACGCGTCAGTTTCAAGGACGAACAATTTCGTGAAGTCCGGCATGGCCAACACCGGGAGCTCAGTCATCGCGCGCTTAAGGAGGAGAAAGGCAACCTCTGCCATGGAAGACCAAGTGAAAGAGCCCTTCTTGAGCAAGTCGGTTAGAGGACGGGCTAAGGATCCATACCCCTTAACAAAACGTCTATAATAGCCTGTAAGGCCCAGGAAGCCCCGCAATTCCCGAACAATCCTAGGGGAAGGCCATGACAACATCGCACTAACCTTAGATTGGTCTGCGGATACTCCCTCAGCCGACAGAACGTGTCCTAAGTAATTGACCTGCCCTTGTCCAAAAACACATTTCTCGAAATTGGCAAACAAGGCCCCCTGCTTCAGCACTTCCAGCACGCTCCTTAAATGTGTGAGATGATCCGCCCACGTCTGGCTATAAATCAAAATGTCATCCAAAAACACCAAAACAAATTTTCGTAAGAAGGGGCGGAATACCGAATTCATTAAAGCTTGGAATGTAGCCGGCGCGTTGGTGAGACCAAAAGGCATGACGCAGAACTCGTAATGCCCTTCATGCGTCCGAAACGCCGTCTTCTCCACGTCACTCTCGCGTACCCTAATTTGGTGGTAGCTAGACTTCAAATCCAGTTTGGAAAATACGGTCGCCCCGTGCAACTCGTCAAGCAACTCATCAATGATTGGAATTGGAAATTTGTCTGGAATGGTTAACTGATTCAAGGCTCGATAGTCAACACAGAAACGCCAACTTCCATCCTTCTTTCGGACCAAAGCACTGGGTTGGCATAAGGGCTACTGCTGGGCCGAATAATGCCCGAGGCCATCATGTCTGCAACTAGTCGCTCAATCTCAGCTTTTTGAACCTGAGGATACCTGTAAGGCCGGATATTGGGCAGGGATGCACCCTCACGGAGGACAATACAGTGATCCTTTGCTCGGTAAGGAGGCAACCCCTTAGGCATGCTGAATACGGTGTGGAACTCCTGGATGAGGGGCTCGCAACTTGGAGGCAGTGGCCGCATATCGCCCTCAACTCCTCCGTCCTGGGTTGCTCGAAATTCTAGTAACACTCCAATCCCGGTATGGTTCCAGATTCGTGATAATGAACGCAGGCTCACCGGGGAATAACTCAATGAGGGATCCCCTGTCAAACAAATCCACTCAGTTCCTTCCTGGAACCGCATGGTGAAGTTGGCCCAATCAGCTCGGACTTCCCCCAACGTCCTCAGCCATGAAATTCTAAAACCAAATCCGCACTGCCCAGCTCGAAAGGAAAAATATCTTCGACTACCCAAAATCCCTGTACGAGCACCTTAACCCCTCAGCAAATCCCCCTTTGTTGAAAGCTCATACCATTACCTACCTCAATCTTATGGCAAACAGACAAATCCGTGGGAATTGCCAGGCTGTGCACCAGGTATGCCACTATGAAGCTGTGGGAGGCTCCACTATCCACCAGTATGACCACTTCCCGGTCACCCAAGTCCCTTTTTAGCTTCATAGTCTTGGTTGTCGCCATCCCCTTGAGGGAATTTAAGGAGAGCCCCAAGGCTTCCTCCGTCGGCCCTCCAGTGACCTTGGTCGTCTCCTCCCCTTCCTCACGACCCTCGTCTTCACTTTCCTCCTCCTCACCCACTGCGAGAAGGACTTGCAGTTGCTTGTTTCGGCACCTGTGGCCCGGGCTAAACTCCTCATCACACCGGAAGCATAACCCACGAGCTTGCCGCTGTTGAGCCTCGTCGTACGCCAGTCGTCGGTAGTTGGGGCCACTTCATGTCGTTGTACCTACCGTCGCGGGTGAGTCGCGATTCCTGATGGGAAGAGCTAGGTCACGCGACATTTGGGATCGAAGAGAGCTCTCAGGCTTATCTGTTGGGTTAAAAGGAGTCGGAGCCGGGTTCGGGTTGCTGAACCCAGCTCTGCCGCCCCACTCCGTACGGGTATTTCAACCCGCCCGTGCCTTCCGGATCCAGTCGACCGCATCCAATCGATCTTCAACCTGCTGAGCCAGATCCATGGCCATAACCAAATTCATGGGCCTGTGCATTTTGACCTCTGCTCTTATGTCTTCCCTCAGCCCATTAAGGAATGCTCCTCTGAAAACATTCTCTGGTATTCCTCTCATCGCCGCTGCGAGGGACTCAAACTCCTCTCTAAATTCCGCCACCGTCCCTCCTTGCCGGAGTGCCATAAGTCTCTCGGTCGGGTCCCCTTCCCGGGAACGGCCAAAACGATGGAGGATAGCCTCTCGGAGGTCTTCCCAACCCACGAAAGGCTCTTGAGTATCCAGCCACTGATACCAACCTAAGGCCCTACCCTCCATGCAGATGGAGGCCGCCATCACCTTCTCTCCTCCTTCGATGCCGTTAATGGTGAAATACTGTTCGGCTCGAAAAATCCAACCGTGTGGATCCTCTCCCTGAAATAGTGGAAGTTCAAGTTTCTTACCTTGATGCTTAACCCGCGCGCGGGGTCTATCCGGAGACCGGTAACGGTGATATCCCTCTCTACCCCTCGCCTGAACTCTCCTCGGAGGACTGGGGTCCGCACGAGCTGGCCGTCCTGGTCCTCGCCTGGGTGGAGTTTGATCGTCCCGGATCTCCCCTGGAGGAGAGTAGTCCCCCCTGTCTCTCCTTGGAGGAGAGCGCTGGTTACGTACTCGCTGGATCATGAGCTCCTCGAGTCGGGTGATCGTTCCTTGGATTCCGTCCACCTTGGCTCCCATCGCAACAACTTCTCCTTGCACTTCGCCGAGCCTCACTCCCATGGTCGCCATCTCCTCCTGCAACCTTGGTACTGGGTCCACCATCGTCTCGAAGGTTTGTAGAGCATCCTGGAAACTGTTCAGCCTCCTCTCCAACGATCCCCAGCGGTCTTGCTGATTGGCCATGGATCGACGGGCTCTGATACCAAATTGTTAAGTTCTTGTTTTCCTAAGTCCTTTTCTACTCAATGTTCGTAATACAAAGTAAGCAATTGAATGGAAATTAACTACAAAAGGGTCTGGCTCCTTGTATTTCTGAAGAAAAATGAAAGATTACAGATAGAAGGGGGAATTCGAGGACCCCAAACCTCCAACAATCTAATTCTCACAATAACAAAAATATTCGATGCCTCCCAACCCAACGGTTGAGCTATTTATACTACCCTACTCTAACCAACTGGACACTTCCCCCAGCGGGTTCCATTCCACTCACCCTGCCCAATCCCAAGACCAAGGATTCTAACAAAATTGCTAATCCCCACGACTAATCCTCCTTCCAATTACCAACCAGTCCCTGCTGGTCATTCTTCCTTCTTCTAGCATAAACAAATTTAATAGGCGGAGACCTATCAGATTATCACATGCATGCAGAAAACAACAAGCATTCGTAAATATTCAGCATGAAAAAAATCATTTGCATGGATAACAAGTGAGATACAAAACGAACTAAAAAAATGTGATGTTTAAAGCATAAGCTATCAATATACTATAAAAATGTGAACAACAGATTATCTAACAAAAAGAATTCGTATCTCAATTGTGAGATACAAAACGAACTAAAAAAATGTGATGTTTGAAGCATAAACTATCAATGTAGTATTAGTTATTAATAAGAAAGATTAGATGTGGCTGACTTTTAAAGATGAAGTACGAATAAACTAAACTCGTATTTGTGGTTCATGAATGGGAAAATCTAATGCTAAGCATAAGGGTTTGTAAAACGGAAGAATTCTAAACATCAAACGAAAGAACTTATTTTGGTACCTGCATTGACCTCAAGCCAATGTATATGAAAGAAACTGAATCATCAATCATGTTTTTCTCGCGTGTATAAAGCCACTTAATGACCATAACTCGAACTAAAATGAAGATAAAATTTGAAATTATTCGTATTTCTTATTGAAATTTTAAGGGTACCAACCCTCAAGTTCAGAAAGAATTTTGACATCCATTAAGGTTTAAGGTGGATTTTCCCAACAAAAACTGTAATAGAAGTTCAAGGGTATCACTCCAAAATTTCAAAGAGGAATTCATAATTTCTTCTTCTTTCTCGAGGATAAATAACGTACACTACAGTATTGAGGAAATCTATGGCACAAAAAACGGGGAAAGAAATAAAAATTAACCAGGGGAAAACAATGGCACTCAAAATAGTATTATCCTAAAATCCTAAAAATGACTAAAGTCTAGAACTAACACTTCGACAAAGTCCAATTATGCATTGATTAATCCCAAAACTCCAAATATGCCCTTACACACGCAATGCAGCTACTAAAGAAACGAAATCCAACTTCAAAATTGACTGAATACAAAAAGAAAGAAATTTGAAGTTTTTAACTAATTCTAAGTCGAAATTTGAAGGGTTTTTTTTTTTTTTTTTTTTTTGCTAATTCTAAGCAAAGAGAAAAGTGAATAAAATACCTAAAACTCGCCAAGGAGCTCCATCCAATTCAATTTCAGTGCCGACCTTAATATCATTGCTGGAAAACGCCATAATTCCTGCGGACAGCGTCAATTCAAAGCCTGCGAACGAACAAAACAAGCAAAAACGAACAGTACAACAGAATGAGAGTTTAACTGGGAAATCTGGAGCGAAAGAGAGTCTGCCGCAAACTCGGCCTTCGGAGTAGAGACGACGGCTTCGACGAGAGTGAGACGGAAGAAAATGGCGACGGACGGCTGAGGATGGAAGAAGCCGACGACGAATGAAAGGTTGTCGCCATTCCCGCCATTGTTTCAGAGTTGTTTGGTTGAAGAGATAAATGGGAAAGGGTGAAGAGTGTGAAAGTGGTTGTGTTTTGATCTTTTTGCCCGAAATTTGGAGGACCATGACACAACTTCCGGTTGGATAAGGACTAGAGGGGAAAAAAACTTGAAATACCACCTCAAGGTGGTAAAAAATTTAATTATATCACCCATTTAAAAATAAATAATATTATTTAATTAATAAAAAATTAAAAAAAATGATAATTATGTAATTATATACTTAAGACTCTCACTTCTGTGTAACACATTATTTTTGTTAAAAAAATTAACAGAAAGAGTTTTTTCACTAATATTTTATATATAGGGAAAAATATTATGATATAAAAGTCAATAGGAGAATTTTTGAAATTAATCTACGTTATTTTTTAAAAGAATGTTGCTAGAGACACCAACTTTAATCTCAACTATATTTATTTCAACTTACGTGGCATATGAGTTGTCATTTTTTTCTTGATAGTTGTTTAAAATATTATCACATCGATTAATAATAAGTAATTATATCTATCAATAAAAAATGACAACTCTGTATCACGTAAGTTAGATACAAAATAGTTTAGATTAAAATTGTTATCCTAACAATACTCTTTTTTTTTAAAAAAATTGAGACCCACGGACAATGTCAACTTAAGAGAGGTAAGTTTTGAATAGGAACGTGTGGTTATGTAGCATTTTCTTATGGAATGAGTTTGTCAATCGTCGTAGCAACATGATTTATTCCAAATTCTTAACAAATTTGCAAGTTTCCCCAATTAAAAAAAAAATCACAAGTTCAAAATTGTATGATATATCACCTGATCTCATTTTTCTAATTCAGTAAGTATTATTTTCATGATATAAGATTTATTATTGGTTACATTTCAGTTCCTTTTCATCACTGTTATAATTTTAGGTATTTCTATAATAAAATGAAATTGTAGACAATTTGTACTAGTACTTAGAAAGTCTTTAAAGAAAGGTTTTAATACCGTTTAAACTAATAGTTTTGTTTAAACCAATGATTATTATTTTAGGATATAATAATTACACTTACAAGATGTTAGTAAGCGTTAGAAAGTGAACGGATAATTTCTCATCCCAGTTTTTAGATAATAAGTAAACATAAGAAAGGAAGTCAACAATCCCTATTCTTCTACTTTTCTTTTATTTTTCATTTCATTTCATTGCGTTTTGGTCCGTGCCCCTAATTATGCTATACAATTAAAAAATAAAAAATCAATGATCATTACCCTCTCCTTTTTTCTTAATCTAAATTTTGAGGACCACCAACACATAGAAAATGGTGGACTGAATTTCACTCACTATTACAGATCATGAGGACTTCAAGTAGGGTTATAAAATTTCGAGCTTTAAATTTATCAATTAATTTGACTATATAAGAGATGGTTGTTGGTTTTTACCATATTACTTCATTTCCTTTCATTCTTATCACATATTTTGATTAACTCCAATTAAACGGTGATTAATCATATTTAATTGTCTATAGTAAAATTGTCTTTTTATATATTAAAAGTGGTTAGTGGTATAATTGAATGACTCTACCATAAAAGTGGTACTTTCCTAATTGATATGTTATGAAATAAGGAGATGATAAATAATAAATTAAACGTACTCTAATTTATAAATTACAATTCTAGAGGAGTATGACTAAGAAATCAGAATTAAAGGGTGCGTTTGAAATTATTTTTTAGTTATTTTTGAAAACGTTTCCATATGTCTTTTGAGGTACGAAAATGAAAACGGTCTACAAATCGCATTTGTTTACTAAAAATTTTGAAAACGGAAACGAAAACAAAAACAATGAAAATGATTTTTGTGACAAAAGTAGACAACGACTGAAAGTTATTGTTCCTTTTCCATTTTCATTTTCTAGTACTTATCAACAATGTTATATTAAATAATTAATTATTAATTACTAATTATAGTATATATTAATTAATAACTAATAAATAGATATACTTAATAATTAATAAATAGATAGCAATTACTTAATTATTAATTAAATATTAATTTATTACTATTAAGTTTTTAATTTTATTAATAAAATAATAAATAATACAGTAATTAATTATTTAGTCAAAGATTAATTGCCAAAAATTTAATTATATAACATATTAACAATAAAACAGGTAATAATAGGTTATTAAATAAATAAATAATTAATAATATATCAATCATATATTATGTTAATTATAATCTATTAATTAGTAAGTAGTTGGTAAATAAAAAATAAATAGTAATTACTCAATTAATAATTAATATTAAATTATAATTATCAATATGTAATATACTAATTAATAATTGATAATTAGTAATTAATTATTATAAAAAGAATAATTACCAACAATTGATCATGTGATATATCAAATAATAGATTATTCAATAAATATTAGTTATTAATTAACTAATTATTTAATTATGTAACTAAAAGTTAATAATTTAAGTAGTAAACAGAATATTAATAAATTATTTATATACTAATTATTTTTCTTAATACACTAATTAATCTTATAATCTAATAAATATGAGTACATTACTAACATAGTAATTACTTATAATTAATTATTAATTACAATTTTTCAATTATTTAGCATATTAATTTATTATATATATAGTTTAATTATTAATGTACTCATTAATAATAATTTATCCATTATTATTATATTATTAATATATTAATTTTAATTTGCTAAATAATTATCAATTATTAATTACTTAATATATTAATTTAAGATTATTAATTACTAGTACTCAAAACAAACATAAATATAACCAAACACGATTTTATTTTTTTATCATACTCAAACTAATCTCTTAAAAGATCACCAAACGTTATTTTAGAATCGGTTCTAGAATAATTTTTAATACAATTTCATTTTTATTTTTATACCAAAAACAAAACCATTTTGAAAACATTATCAAACGGGCTCAAAATTTTGCCTTACAAAAGATTTCCATTCCCCACCCTTTGAGAGTTATTTTCGTTATTATTTCCTTTATATATATATATATATATTTCAAATGCTAAAAACTATTGATGCAAAAATCATCACTTCCACTAGCGTCACAACATTATTTTCCCAAGAAAATTGGCGAGTTAATATAACTTTTGCTTAAAAAAAAAAAAAAAACACAGATAAGCCACACAGTATATTTGTTGGGGTATTGATATAGTATAGTGATAAATTCGCACCTCAACGCATTGTAAAAGTGTGAAACTCAAATCACATCAATCTAAATTCACAGAAACAAGAAAAGAAAAGAAAAGAAAATGTTACAATTGGCTCATGGATTTTTTGTTTGTCCTAACTTATTTTTAAGTATTTAGTGTAACGTCTTTGAAGTGTTAACATTATAACAAATTGGTGCTTAAATTTTTTAGTTAATTAATAATTGAAATTTATTTTTTTAATAATTTCCCTAATAATAAAATTAATGATATATTTTAAAATTCAGTAAAGGTAAGGTGTGATTAATTTAAATTAAAAAAAATAATCACATAAAATGAGCAAACAACATTATATTTAGTGTCATAAAAACACTTGAAAATTATAATATTCTGCACATAACCTAATTATTTTAGTAAAATTTTGAGTTTTTATGTGATGAGCACGTGACTGTTTCTATTAAAGTTTTAAAATCAATCGTCAATTTTATTATCAAAGACAAAATTTGGTAACAAATGAAAAAAAAAAAAACCAGGGACTAGATTTTCACTTTCTTGAAAGTTAAGGGACTAATAGAGTAAGATAAAGCTCTTTTTATTTTTCTTTTCTTTTTTCATAATGGGTTTAGATGATCCCATAAATAACGTAAGATCAACCAAATCAAAATAACATATCTTCTAAATCATATTAAGCGTTTTTGTTAAGCATTAAGTATAATACAAAATGTCAAAATCCAACCCCAATCACAAATAAAACTATAGATGAAACTAACACCAATACCAACATTATCCTTTTATCTTTTTAATTTTGTTTTTATCGCCGCCCGAGCTTAAGCAAAAATTTATAGGTTACATCTATTCCCATCAATTTCATGCACATCTCGTCAAATTTTCAGGAAACAAAAATAAATAGATAAATTAATTAATTAATCAATTAAACATCTCGTCTACTTTGCTAATACAATTACAAACTGTCGAACATGAACACGTTTATCCTTTGTTCATTGACCCAACAATCCTCAAAAACATTTGACTAGAGAAACGATCCCAAAAAAGATTTATAAAAAAAAAAAAAAAAAAAACAACAACAAAGTTATACGAAAAAATAATAGCCCTCCCATACTATCAATATTGGAGGAGTTACATGGGCATTACCAGAATATGTGATTCACATAACTTCCTAACACATGCGGTCCACTATCTCCCCTGTAATGATTATCTTTGACCTTAATTTCTTTTTTATTATTATTTTAATTTCTTTTGTCCCTAATGATAATTAAGCGTAATTAACAAACATTGCTAATTCAATCTCTCTCTCTCTCTCTCTCTTTTTAAATAAAGCTATTTACTAAAATACGGACCTTTTATTCTTTTATTTTTAGCTTATAAAAGAATAGAAGTAACAATTATAACTTTTTAGTTAATATTTCATAACCATATTTTTAAAAGAGTTTAATTGCTTTAAAATATATTTAATTTTTTAATAAGAAATAAAAATAATAAACTCTCACGATAGTAAGTAAATGTTATTTTATCAATGTAGGAATTGTTGTTTTAAATTTTAAGATAATTTGCACAAATAGTCTCCAACCTATTTAAAATGTGACAGTTTGGTCATCAACTTTTTTTTTTGACAAAACGATCCCCAACCTATTTAAAAAGGTGCAATCTCGTCATTTCAGTCAAATTCTATTAAAATTTTAACAGAATTAATCATGTGCAAAGCATGTGATCTTGTTAAAGAGGGTATTTTGGTAAAATACCAAGGTAAGCTCTCATTCTCTCTCTCATCTCTCCGCCCCTCTTTATCTGCTCTCTGCTCTCTCCTTCTCTCTCTCTCTCTCTCTCTCTCTCTTCTCTCGCGCATGAATCCTAGGGGGAAATCCATGGTCGAGTTTCTTGACCGAGTTATCAAATTCCTCGACTCGGCACGCACAGCCTCCCTCCTTGGCAACGAGTCAGAGTTTGAGACGACAACGCTGTTGTCGGTGAGCTGAGGGCGGAGATTGTCGAGCTTAGCGCAGATGAGGGACCACTTGCCCTTGAAGGTCTGGACGAGTGGGATTTCGTCCATGAGAGAGGAGAGAAGCTTGGTGGAGATGGCGATTGGGTCGGTTTCTTCTTCCGGTGCTTTCATGGCGATGGTTTGTTGTTTCCCTCTTTTCCAACAGAGAAGGAAAGAAAGGGAAAGGGAAAGGGGTTTTACTTTTTCCATCTCTCTCTCCCTCTTTCTCTCTCTCATATTATTCTAGTGAGCACTCCTAACAACCCTGCAGGCTGATACCCAGGAAATTAAAAGAAAAATTTATTCTCAATCAAATAACTTGCTTGCAAGCTCAGAGAAAATTGAAAGGACTTTCATTAACAAAGGCGCAAACCAAAGCCTCCCCAACATTAAGAACACGCAATTCAAAGTTGCATATTTTTTCTTTCAATTTTTTTCTTTTTCCTTTTTGAGTTTTTAGGCTACTAGGTAGAGATCTATTGATGGTGTCGAGATCGACATCGGGGGGCTACGACTATTGTCAATGAGCGGGACTGCGGATCTAGTGATGAACATCGCTGGAATATGAGGATAATGAATATGGGTTTTGCAAGTTGAAGAACTCAAATCCCATCCACGCTGAACCCAGCCACCAATTGCATCTCTTCGCTCGCCGCTCTCACGAGCTCAAAAGGATAATTTTTATGGGGCATTCAAGTCATTTTACTGAAAAAGGGGGTCACGTGATGGGTCACAAACATGTTCTGTTAAAATTTTAACGGAATTTACAGAAATGACTAAACTGTCATCTTTTAAAGAGGTTGGGGGTCGTTTTGCCAAAAAAAAGAAAGGCTAGGGACCAAATTTTCACTTACTAAAGAGGTTGGAGACCATTTGTGCAAATTACCTTAAATTTTAACTATTAGATTAGTTTAAAAGTTTATATTGAGATATGATCATTAAAAACTAATTCAACAACTAAAATAACAATTATCATCAGTAGTGTAAACTACTATACTTACCATAATGTCATTATTATTGAAACACAATTTTTAAATTTATGTTTGTATTTTGTAGTTTTGACACGAAGAGTTAAAATGACTGTTTTCAGAAAAGATTATTTAGGCTTCGTTCAGTAAACTGATTCAAATTTTTAATTTAAATTAATATGTAATTTTATGTGTGTAATTTTTTACTGTAAAAAAAATTAAATATAATTTTTTATAAAATTTTTTAATTATAATAAAATTAAAATTAAAAATTTGAATAGATAAACTCAACCGTTTTAGTCCTTTTTACTCATTTTACTCATTGAGGAGGAATTTGAATTCCAGTCGTCATCAAGACGCGTGAGGAAATGAACTGCCGAGGTCAGGCTTAGAAATGGGCGTGACTGTTCAGCTCTCAGGCGCGTGGGTTAGCGTTTCTTTTTCAGCGTGGTTGGTAACGCACTTCGAGGTCATATGACGTCATCTTCTACCGACATGACGTCATAACAGAAAGAAAAGATCGACGGTCCACAATCGTTGAATCTTGGAACTATTGTGTTTGGAAATTTGTTTGAGCGGCGTGAGACTAGGGGAAGACCAGGATGACCGATTTTCGCTGCCGTACTTAATCATTGCCAGTATGGTATTACTGTAAATAAGAGAATAGAAGGGAGGGCTTTTGGTAATTTCATTCTGTTCTGTTGCATGCGAAATATGCGAGTGGATAAAAAAGAGTCTTGTGACCCATTTTACGGTGCTGCCCTGCGGCCGTATTTTTATACTCCCTTATTTTATGCACTTTTCCTTATTTATTTTAAATTTTGTTGTCATTAATTCCTCATAGCATTTTTTACTCAATATTTTGTTTTTATTTTTTTATAATTTTAAGGTATCGTTCATTTTATCGATTTAAATTTAAAATTTAAATTTTATTACGGTAAAAAATAGTTACATTTAATTTTTTTATTACAGTAAAAAGTTCTCACATAAAATAATATCTCAACTCGAATTAAAAATTCGAATCAGAGAACTAAACGGACCCTAAATAAAGATAAAAATCATAAGTGGCTGTTTCTCTCTGGTTGCAACATTATTTTTTCTTTTCTACGGAGATTATAACAAATGGTTCATTTTAATTTTCTTTCCTAAACATTTAAATAAGTTGGCTATATTCGGTTTGTAAAAGATTTATAGTAAAAGTTGAGGTTACAATTTGGGTTACCCGTTTTGTTCATCTAGCGTCTCTCACTTTTTAGGAGTCGCAAAATTACAAGTGAACCTATGTACTAGACTGCTAGTCAACTACCTTCGCCTAAAATCCTCAACGCTTTTTGGTCACTTCCGTCCACATACATTCCACAATTCTCATATCCAGCAACCGCCACAAAAAAAGGGAATTTATTTTTAAGAGTGTATAAATTTTAATTTTAATTTTTTATTCTTAATAAATATTTTTTTATTAATGTAATTATTTAACTAAAAATATTATGAATTAAGAATAAAGAATAAAAATCTTAACTCATACACTTTTAAAACGTATTTATCAAGATTACCTCAACAAAATGCACGATACGACCAAAACATACGGCTTATATTGTAGCATCTTTAAATTTTTTCTTAAGGGAAAGAATCTCTAAATTTTCTGAATAGTAATAAGATTTTCATTAAATTTTAGATCAAAAAAAGATGATAAGCATATAACATTTCTTTTTTTAATAATTTCACTTTACATATGAAACCATCAGAATTTGAATTATGATGGATATACGCACACATTCACGCACTCAACTGCTTGAACAAATCTCTTACTTGATAACCATATAACATCCCTTATTCACATAACTATGAGCATTAGTGTTTAAATATTGAACAAAACATAACATTTCTTTCAATTGATGCAATGGGACGACCGATATCTATTTTCTAATTAATTTAACAAATATATACAAAAATATCCCTTATGTTTTGTTGGGCGTATGTTTAGCTAGGCCCGCCGAGCACTATTCGGGAGCATGCCGTTGAGAAGATACCGCCGATACGCTGCCACCAACAGTGTCGCCGAACATGATAACTCTGCCACCCCTAATGCTCGACAACCTCTACACCTGAACATCTTGTGCCAAATAACATTTTGTGACCAATCTTCCTGTCAAGCACTCCCGATGTTGGAGGTTCATATTGTGCTCCCTATTATCCGTACAAGGGCAATCCATATGTCCCCATGTCTAACAAGTCTATACAACCGTATCGGCAAACCTCCAACATACGGTGGGTAAAACTTGGATCCAACAAGAAACTATAAATACCCCTCAAAACTCATTTATGAGGCACATACATTTCTCCACACCTATGCATTGTCTCCTCATTTATCGCTCCCAAGCACAACACTGATTTGAGCGTCAGAGGGTCTTTGGCCGGCACCGTACCGGTGCCCCAACTGATCCGAGCCTCACCTGTCTCCTGTGTAGGATAATCAAGTCGACACCTCAAGAAACGGAGCAACAGTCCAAAAGACCTGACTAAGCAAGACCAGATCGGATAAGATAGTCCGACTACCGTGTGCAGCCGCACGTGGTGTTGAGTCAACAAAGACATCAACATGATGTATCATAATATGTGGTGGTCTATTGGATAAAACGAAATGTTGTGATCCATTATGTGTTTTAAGGAATCGAACATCTATCTCTTACACTTCAAAATTATGTTAAAAACCTATAAAAAACTGAAATTGAAGTTTTAGAACAATTTGTTGAAAGTAATTTTTAACACTAAGGTGAAAGATAGGTTTATTACTTCTGAAAATATGTAGTACAATGTTAGTTCAAAAAACAAATTGGACAATGTTCTTTTTTTTTTTAATTTCACAATTATTAATTTGAAAATCAATATTTGAGGAGAAAAAGAAAAGAAAAGAGAAGAAAAGAAAAGAAAAGAAAAGAAATGAAAGGGCAAGTGAGGAAAAAAGGGGAAGGTGGGCGAGTTGGCCGAGTCTTGAAGCATCATCATCGTGCATGCATTTTGTGCCCATCTCTCTCCTCTTTCTCTTTCTATCTCTAAAACCCTTCTCTCTCTACCCCCTCTCTCTCTTTCTCTCTCCTTTTTATATTTTTCAACTTTGCATGCACACGTCTTCTTCCCCCAATACTCCTCCGCCGATCCGAGCTTCCCCTCACCGGAATCCGACCCTCCTTCTCCGATTCACCTACTTCTCCGTCGACTATTTCACACCAAATTTCCGATCAAACACTCACAAAACTCCCAAAACACTCGAAGAAGAATCGCACAAGAAAAGTGCAGAGCAATCGTTCTTCAGAAATCCTACAAGAGAAATGAACTAGTTCTTCTATTGTGCACGATTCAGTAATCGAAGTAAGCCTTGTTCTTCCAAGTTCCACGCTTTTCTTCTCGGTTTCAGTGCTCTTCTGCTGATTTTCCTTTGACCAATTTTGAGTTTCACAAGACTTGCTAATTTCGGTCGAAAGAAGCTAATTTTGGGGATTTAGGTTTGTGTTGCTGTGAATCCGATTTGTTTGAGTTTTTTTTTTCTTTGGCGAAATTCTTCGCAGGATTTTTTAGTGCAAGTGAGAATGGCTTGCATGAACGCGTCCTGTGGAGCATCAACTTCGATTGAATGGAAGAAAGGTTGGGCGTTGCGATCCGGTGGATACGCCAATCTCTGCGATAAGTGCGGGTAGTTATTCTCTTCTCTAGATTCTTTCAATCAAAATGTTTGAATTTCACGAAAAGTGGACTGTTTTTCTTTTTCGTTGAATTTTGTTGATTTCTCTTATATCTCAGTGTACTGTTTTATACGGGGGGTTTTTTTTTTTTTTTGAATTTTTATTTTGTTTGGGGTCAATATGTTCTCTACATCCTGTTTACTGGGACCGTGTCGAACTTTACTCATACTTATAAAAGTATACATATATATATGTGTGTTAGTATTAAACTTGATTGAAAATGAATTGAATTTATAAATCTCACGCCTAATATTGTTAATTGAACAATGTTTTGCAATAGTAATTGAGGGTAGTTCATGTTTGAAGGACAGCCATTTGACCACTTATCTTATAATGATTCTCTATTGTTCTTGAAATTTTATGTGCGTTTCTTCTGAACAGAGAAAAATCGACTGTTGAACTGTTGTTTTGAGAAGTGTCCTCATGGATAGCGTGTTATTTGCTCCCTTCACTTTGCCTTTTCTTTTCTTTACTAAACATAAGGTTATCACGCTAATATGTCTTTTGTATAACCTGTATGATTGTTTGAACCAGACAAGGGCTTTACAAAATTTGTCTTTTGGTAATTATGCTCAACAATCTCATTATCATACCATGAGTGTTTTTCTTATTTTTTTATTTGTTGTAAAATAAAACTCATGTTGGAGAGAGACGTAGGTATGAATGTGGGAAGCTGGATAGGATGGCTATTTTTGGCTTTAATTTTAAACTTAATTAGGATTTTAATTCTCAACTTTTTCTCTGTGTTGATGTTTCGTATAATAATAGCGACAAGCCCATTTTGGGCTTATGTTTCTCTTTTACTGTTATCTGTAGTTTTCTTGAAAATATATATCGGCCTTCGTTATGCAATACTTTTAGTGTTAATTCCAAATATTTGCCGATAGGTCTGCATATGAGCAATCAGTTTTCTGTGACGTCTTCCACTCAACAGAATCTGGTTGGAGAGACTGCACTTCATGTGGCAAGGTAACGTCACGCCCAACAATGCAAAGAATTTGTGTTTTGTTTCTTTCCGTTTCTGCTTGCTTTCTCTGTTCATACATTTACCAATGATTTGGTGCCTGCAGCGGCTCCATTGTGGATGCATTGCCTCAAGATTTCTGCTTGAGCTACTTGATAGTGGTGGTGTGAAATGTATAAGCTGTACAAAGAAATCTGGATCTCACCCGGTAAGATGAATGATATGATTATAAAAACTATTATCTAATATAAATAATGTATACGCGCACTATATGTAACTTCGGATTTAATATTTCTAGTTTTGCTGTTTTCTCATCAAGTGTCATCCAGAAAGTGTCAATTCTTAGGACTGGAGAAGTTCATACAAATGCTCTGGGGACCATTTATGGACACTGTTACTCTCCTTCTCCTTAGTAACTAGTGTATAAGTTTTAGTTGATATGCTCTTCCAAGGTGTTTCTGAGGGCATTAACTTTCAAGGGTGTAATTTGGAGCCAGCCTTTTGCATATATCTCTTGGTAGTTGTTAATAAGAGCATTTCCCTTCAATATTATTACTGTGGGTTACACATTATGCACTAAAGCCTTCAAACTGTGCACATATTGAACTCTTACTGTTCAGGTAGTGATTCTTATGAAACAATTTTACGCAGAATATAAGTGATGACAAACCTAATGGGCTAGGCACATCCACAGTCAGTGAGCTGCAACGTACTTCTTCCAACGACCAATTAGATGGAAATGGTGTTGACAAAATGAAGCTTTTGCAGTTGAGCAATGGGACAGAGGCTATTGGACTTAGGCACTTGCTTCAATCTCCTAATGAGGACACAAATGGTTTGTTCCGCAAAATGAAACAGGAGGATGTTCCCCCGTCTTTGGGAGAAATTGGAAACCCATATTTCTCAAATCTTAATCACGGATCTAATGGATCATCTGAAGCGGCAAAAGCAGAATTTCGCAGAGCAAATACAGGGTCAAATGATATATATGAAGCACTGCCGCACACAAATTTGACTATGACTATTGGTGCTCCTTTGGGACATTCAAATACCTTTCCTAGCGCCATTGTTGATGAGAGGGAAAGTAAAACATCATCCCTATTTCTACAAGGAACAAGATCTCGGCATCTTTTGCCAAAACCCCCAAGGTCAAACCTTGCTACAAGTTTGGAAGCGAATACTAGTATGGTTTCACAGGTACGAGTGGCACGGCCACCTGCTGAAGGACGGGGCAGGAACCAGTTACTTCCCCGTTATTGGCCCAGAATTACAGATCAAGAGTTGCAACAGATATCTGGAGAGTATCCTTTCTGATTTTTCTCTTCCTATTATATACTCCCAGCACAACCATAAACTGAAAAGCTAAATTCTATGGTTTTTATAAATATTTTTGAACTGAAACAGCTATTTCCTTAACCACAATATTTTCAAAGCTCAAATTCAACCATTGTTCCATTGTTTGAAAAGATGCTCAGTGCCAGTGATGCTGGTCGAATTGGCCGCTTGGTTCTTCCAAAAGCATGTGCTGAAGTAAGTATTTGCCATTATTTATCCAAGTATTTCAACTGATATTCAATGCTAGTCGTGACCACTTCTATTAGGTTTCATATAACAAGCCTTAAGAAAAACAAACCACCATGCAGGCATATTTTCCTCCCATTTCTCAACCTGAGGGACTTCCTCTAAAGATTCAAGATGTTAAGGGAAAAGAGTGGGTATTTCAGTTCAGATTTTGGCCCAATAATAACAGCAGGATGTACGTTTTGGAGGGTGTGACCCCCTGCATCCAGTCCATGCAGTTGCAAGCAGGAGATACTGGTATCTTTCAGTGACTGCACTACTTAAATCATTCAGTAACTAACTATTTTCTAATTTCTTATGCAATCCTAAAGTATTCTGTATTAAAAAGGAGGATGAAAGTATCATTAAATATCCCTTCATATAATTTTTTTGTTCATCTTTTAAGTTATTTTCTTGGGGAGAACTTGTCATTGCATGATAAAGCAACTTGTATCTGCCCGTCTTTCTGTACTACTAAGTTGTAGAACTGTTTTGAAAATGTAAATAAATGTAGTATTAGCTTCTCTAAGTGGAGGCATATCCAGTACCTCCTTTTATGTACTTTTTTTTTTCTTTGCAACAGTGACTTTCAGTCGCATGGATCCTGAAGGAAAACTTATCATGGGATTTCGGAAAGCATCAAATTCTGTGGCAATGCAGGTACAAAATCCTGTCAGTTATCATGCCAGCATTGTGGATCATATAATATTGATGCACAAATTATTAAAATAAACAGGACACTCATCCATCTGCCATTCACAATGGCGCTCATACAAGTGAAACTTTCTTTTCGGGTGTTTTTGAGAACCTACCTGTAATAAGTGGTTACTCTGGCCTTCTTCAGTCACTGAAGGGAAGCACGGATTCCCACTTAAATGCATTATCCAAACACTTGTCTTCAACGAGTGCTGACTTTAGCTGGCATAAAATTGAGAAGCAAGAAGGCAGGACAAAGGAGGGCTTGCTGCTGCCATCAATGTTGGTTCCAGAGAGAAAAAAAGCTAGAAATATTGGGTCCAAAAGTAAGAGATTGCACATTGATAGTCAAGATGCGCTGGAGCTAAAACTTACATGGGAAGAGGCTCAGGATTTGCTTCGTCCTCCTCCAGCTGTCAAGCCAAGCACTGTTGTCATTGAGGATCATGAATTTGAAGAATATGAAGTATGTTTTGCTGAACATTTTGAATGATGCTTGCAACTTTTATTTTTTATTTTTTTTTCCTTTCTTGATTCTTTATTCTAACCTAATAATGTCTAACAGCGTGCATGTTGTACAATCAGATTCAAACATGATTTTTGTTTATTGACATTGACACCGGTTATCAACAATTCAAAATTTTTTCTTTTATAAAAATGTGGTTTATAGGTGTGAGACTCTAAATGTAAATGTGTGAAGTCCACTGGATATGCTGTTTTCCAATAAAAATGGATTGATTTAATATATATAAACACAGGCTTATCAGCACATTCATATAATCACACACTCTTGTTGTACAAAACACATTTGTTTCATGATCTGTGTGGGGAAATCTGTCGGCTTTCAAGAGTTGCATGTTTTGTTCATCTAAAGAAAAAGCCTTTCCTATAGGCTTCGCTCTATAAAGTTGATCTTCTAAAAGCTTCCAGATATTTTTAACTTCTATTTTCTCGATTCTCAAGAACTTGCAATAGTAAAAATGTCTGTTTTCCAGGAACCTCCAGTTTTTGGGAAGAGGAGTATTTTCATAGCTCGTTCAACTGGGTAAGACTGTGAAATCTTTTTTGTCCCTATCAGATTTGGAGATCTTACCAATGTGCTTTTCTGGCACAAATTACATCAGTCATGTGACTGCAATTTTCTACTTTCTAGGCTCTGGTTTGAAGACTGATAAATCCATCTTTATTTTATTTTTGGGGAAAACTAGATCCTTCTGATTGTTAACTTCTGAACTTGAACTTTAGGGAACAAGAGCAATGGGCTCAGTGTGATAGTTGCTCTAAATGGAGGAGGTTGCCAGTTGATGTACTTCTTCCCTATAAGTGGACATGTGCAGATAATTCTTGGGATCAGAGCAGGTAATATGTTCATCTTATGTTCATCCTTTTCTTTTCAAATACAAAAACTAGTTCTAAAGTTGATTCTTCTTCTCTTTGGGTCTTCATGCTCCCAGGTCTTCATGCTCTGCACCAGATGAATTGAATACAAGGGAACTGGAAAACCTTCTCAGACTGAACAAGGGTAAGATGATTTATTTACTTAAAATTTTTTTTTTTTTTTTTTGCTAATAATTCTTTTGTGTTGTCAAAGGGTCTTGATAAACAATAGCAGTTGAGCAACATTACCATCATATATTGTTCTTAGACCAGAAATTTTTGTTACTAGTCAATATGAATCAAATTAGGCGCAGATTTTTGTCTGGTACACCTACCTATTCTAATATCCAGTGTGTCCTCAAAAAAGTTATCTAATCCCACAGAACTGTCTCATTGCTAAGTCAATTAAGCAGAAGAATACGGTTGAACTTTTTCTTTAGAATGGGTTATATGCATAGAAAGTGAAAAACAAAATTTGTAATCATTGTAGGATGTCGTATTGTCATGCATATTCATAGTCAAACTCTAATTACACGGAAGCTTCAGCACTTCGATATTTTAGATTAAGGTAAGAGTGGGTGCTTAAAGACAATGTTCCTCTTTTGTTAGATGAACCTCTCTTTTTCCTTCTTATTGCCAAGACCCTTTGTTGATAAACTTTTGTGTGGTGGTTGACTTATTGTCATTTGAAGCCATTATTATAGGTTTCGTCATTTCATCAAGTGTCATACATTGATTTTCTTAACGGTTTGGATAAGTTAATCTGCATAGGACATAGTTAGATGCTTTATACTCGGACTCTTTTGCATTCTTTCGTGTCTATGTGTACGCACAGGTAAGATGTTTAGAAGTTATGATGCTAGCATGCCTTGTATTTGTACAGAATTCAAAAAACGGAAAATAGCATCACACCATAGGCCAACTCAAGAAAAAGAATCCTCTGGTCTCGATGCTTTGGTCAATGCAGCAATTCTCGGAGACAATGCAGCTGATGCAGGTACTACATCAGTCGCCACTACAACAAAACACCCTCGGCATCGACCTGGCTGCTCGTGCATTGTGTGCATCCAGCCCCCCAGTGGCAAGGGCAAGCACAAGCCTTCATGCACATGCAACGTATGCAATACAGTTAAACGCCGATTCAAGACCCTAATGATGAACAAAAAGAAACGTCAGTCCGAGCGCGAAGCAGAGATTTCCAATAGAAATCAGAAAACATGGGGCCCCAGAGACGAAGCAGAAGTAGACAGCACCTCTAGGCATGTATCGTCGCAACTAGATCCCTCCGACAACGAAGCCAGGTCTGCAAACGAGTTAGAGTCAAAGAGCCAAGGGGCTGAAACCATGAAGGAAACATTGGACTTGAACTGTGATCCCCGACGAGAAGAAGATTTGCGAGCGGTATCAAGTCGCGTGAGCATGGTGAGTCTTCTTCAAGTAGCAAACCGCCCTCTCGAAACATATTTGAAGCAGAATGGTCTTACAAGCTTGGTACATGAGCAACAGACAAGTTCAGCATCACCTGTGCCTCCTCAAGTTACTAATGAGAGTGAAGGACAGCTTAACGAGGATGTTTCTGCTCTTCAAGAGCAGGAAAGTGAGGGTGGGGATCAGTGTAGGCCAGATCAGAGCCAAAATGATCCACTCTGATGAAGTTTCTGTTTCTTTTATATTTTCCTTTTCCTTTTTAATTTTTTTCTTACAGAGTTATATGTATTTTCCGGTTCTTCTGGCTGTCATGTGTTCATAGAAGAACTCAAAGCTTGCGTGTTTCTCTCTGTTTTTTTTTTTTTCCCTTTCACTTTCTATTTTCAAATGTTTTTCCTTCTTGCTAATGTTACAGAATTATAGGTCTATTTGTGTTTCTTTAACTCGCAAAGAGCATGTACTTTTCATTATAATATACGACTTGAACCACATTGTTTTCTAAGCAAAATCATAGAAATGCTGTATATGCTTGGATTCACTTTCCTGTTTATGTTTTCTTTTTTATACTGTTGATGTTTTTCCTTTGAACAATGCTTCAAGGCTCAACACCACCTTTTATTATAGTAGGTGGGTCTCGCAGTATAAAGTTCACGTTCTATTAGTGATGGCGTTTTCAATGTTTTATTAGTGACGGTGTTTTCAATGTTTAATTAGTGACGGTGTTCCCAATTATTTTTCTTTTCCTTTAGTACACTTATCGGCTCAAGATATTTTGCATGCCTCTTACGTGGCCATATTGATCTAACGTGTAGTGATAATGTCAAATTAAGAGAGCTTTTGAGATGAAAACTGAAAAGGAATAAATAAATAAGTGAAGGTAATTTGACGTCTCCTCTTATGACTTGCACTCCACCTTTGGGTCATAAAGATCGGTAAGAAGATTGCTTCTTTCAAAGCACAAAAGAATGTCGGAAACGACACAAGGGTTGTTGGCCTTTTAAATTAAGAAAGGGCAGCAGCTCTTGCATTGGTTCTTACTTAGCCTCCCAATCGCGTCATTTTTGCAGTTGAAACCGTGCAAGTAATTTAAACCCCTTGTTTGTTTCACTTATTTAGTTCAGTTTAAATAATAAACACAGTTTAAACTCGTGTCTAATAAATACACAATTTGAATTATATTTTTTATTTAAACTGAGTTAAACAGTACAACTTAAAGTTTAGCTCTCCATTAAATTTAATCTTTTAAACAATTTTTAAATAGTTAGAAGGTATACACTATCTCTGCTTTTCACATCTATCAAATATAAATATAAATTTTATTCTTGTTCATATTAAAATTTTAATTACATATCTAAACGTTAATTCTAACTACAATTTAAACCATACAGTTTGAATTTTTTTTTTCTCAATAGGCCGTTTGAATTTTTCTATTTAAATTAAAAAATTTGAATTAGCAATTAAGACATGGATCCACGTCCGCCATTAAAATTTTAACTACTTTTATTTAATGGTCTAGATTTTTTTAAACTATCATTTAATGTCTAAAAAGGGACTATGAACATATCAACGTTGTCGCTCGTTGAAATTTGAGTTACTTTTATTAAGTGGGATCCAACAACAACAAAATTCAACGGCTTAGATCTTTGTAGATCATCATCAATCGGGTAAAAAAAAGAGCACTTTACAATGTCAACGGCTTATAATTTTGCTTGAATCTCACACGCTAGTTGGATACGAGGAGCATGAAGTTTCAAAACCATCCACCAGCCGCTTTATTTGTTTTCTTTTTTATTCTTTTCAATTATTTTCACCAAAGGTCCTAACTCCTAAGGATATGTAATTATCCTGCTGTGGTTCTTGATATTCACTTGTAGATGTCTAACTATCTTGATGTTTCTAAAAATACAGTTGTCTCTTTTTATAAACGTCTATTTTCATATAAAATTTAGCACGAGAATAACACGCGGGTAGGGCAGTATCCAAACATCACATCAGGAGATATGAGAGACCTCGCTTGAAGAAGCTTATTGTGTGTAAAAATCACGTCACGCCACCGTCTTTGGGAACTGGACCTCCTCATCAAAAAGATAAAATAATAATAAAAATAGAAATCTAAAAAAGTAGTTCTAGAAAGAAAAGATTCAGACTTGGATTGAGAAGCGACATCTGATTTTGATTTAAGAAAAAAGAGATAAATATCTCTTAAAATGCACGAGTCTTGAATTTTTATTATTATTTTTAATTAATACCCTTTAGTCAAAGAACTATTTTAGGCAAAATGGTATTTATAAAGAGTATAAGGTAAAAATCTTAAACATTACATTTTTAGAGGGTAAAGTCTGAAATTCTCTTTTATTATTTAAGACTTGATTTTTTATTTTTTTTTAACTAAGGTTGTATTTTTTTAGCATTTTATATTTCTTAAAACTCTCTTGTGCTATTATTGTAGTAAATTCGGTATGAACATAGGCAATTTATTAACAGAGGTCAAAACTATATATTTTAGGAACGTCGGGTAACTAGGTTTTTTTTTTTTTTTTGGCTAGGGGTTATGGATGAAAATAACCCTTAATTATTTTGTTTGTTAACTGGATTCAAATAAGTAGAATCTTAGTCTCTCCTATTGTTAAGATCAATTAGAATTTAGTAAAAGATTTGGAATCAAAGTTGGCAACAATAAATAGGAGGCCATTGATTCTATTTAAAGATATACGAGGCAATTCAGCCAAAAACGAATTGGCAACCAACATATCTAATTAAGGAATTGAGCGATATCAGTCAAAAAGAATGTGCAACCAACAGTGAGAATTCCTTGCCCCATCAGCTAGATAAGTTGCAAAACCCAAACTTTAGTTTGAGTTTCCACTCTCGGAAAAATCACTCAAATAGAGTAAAAGAAAATTAAAAAGCCAATGGTGGTGTTCAGCATTTGGTTGTTCAAAAGACTTTCTCAACATCACAATTATAGTTTCATACGCATGACTAAACGTGATGTAATAGAATCACAATTATATTTCATACGCTTGAATTAAAAGAGCCCTACGTGTAGCAACATTCGAAGGTCCGACAAAGGAACCAGGACACTTCGATGCTTAAGTTAGAGAAATTGAGCAAAAAGACGGGATAAGTATTATTATACGTTATTTTAATGAATATGTAAATGTAATTATAATTAATATATAATTATGATGATTTCTGATGTGGGGAAATTTATATATAAGTAATCGTTATTATATTTTTTATTATTATTTGTTCTAATTTACCAATTTAGCTTTATTATATTATTAATTTATTGTTTGTCTTAGTGGATATTTTGTTATCGTTTATAAGTGAACTATAAATATCCAAATTAGGACTTCAATAATTGAGACATTGAATACAAACTTTGAGTGTGCTCTTTATTTTAGAGGTTTGTCCGGTAAATCTATTTTTATTCATTCCTCTGCATCAATTTCTTGTTATACTATGCCACATGACTCTCACATTCGACAAAAATGTACTATTTTTATTATTATTTTTTACCAGCACATATATTAAGTGCACACCAGAAATACTAACATTATTTTTTTTTGTTATTCTCTTTTTCACTCGTTATATTTATTGATATTGTACTTTACTATCTCATTTTTTATTTAAATAATAATATAATATATTCATAAAATTCACGTCTTAAATACTGAACGTAAAGAATAATAATAAAAAAAAGAGTGATGCTAACACAATACATCAACCTAAGGGCAGAAAAATAAGTACTATCCGAGAGAGCCAATGATACTTTCTAAATTGAGCATTGAGCACATGCTTTACGCTTAAATAAAGTAAAAAGAGTGGGGGAAAAAAAAATTTTCTTGTATGTATGAATAGGAATGGCATTCTTGATTGGGAAACCTAATTGAACCCGTTGGTCAACAGGTTCACACTCTATCTACAAAAGGGCATCCTCTCTGTTTTATGATCTAGAGGGATGTGAAAGTGGAAGAACCACATCTTTATCTTCTATATATTGTGTTGAATCACAAAGAACACAAAATAAAAAATCAAATAAAATAAAAAATGCATTTTATACACATTCAAAATCCCTCGACACTGGTCCTCCGGACGGTCGATGATGATGACTTCCGGCTTTCCTGTCGATCAAGCTCCTCCAAAGAGATGGTGGAGGAACATGCACGCGGAGGAAGAGAACTGGGCAAGACTGGTCGCCTAGTAGGTGAAACAGACGGCCTGGCTCTTGACGGTGGTGATGGGGAGAAACTTAACCTCGGCGCTGGGGGTGTGATGATTCCATTAAAACTTGGTGATTTGTACATCTGTTTTCCAGCAATTGTTGCTGGCTCTTGTAAGGGGAACCGGTAAGAGTATTTCAGGTCTTGTATTAGTTTGAGATGTTCAACAACAGTTCTCATGGTGGGCCTTTCTGATGGATCTTTCTGAAGGCATCTTTGTGCAATGTCAGCCACTGTCCTGGCTGCTTTGACAGGGAATCGGCCTTTTAGCTGAGGATCCATGATCAATGACAGACGATGGTCATCGGCTAGAAAAGGACGGCTCCACTTGACCAAATTTCTTTCTTCCTTGGGGTGACGGCTATCGAGATTCCTCCGCCCTGTAAGTAGTTCCAGAAGAACAATTCCGAAACTCCAAACGTTGCTCTTTGGAGTAAGCAATCCTTTCTCCAATGTCTCAAAAGAGAGATTTGCTACTGCCTGTACGGACAATCGAGGAGATAAATCAACCCTCATGAATTCAAGCTGGGGGATGTAAAATCCAACAGTTGGACATGGGCCAATCTGAAAGACATCACTAAACAGGGTCGCGGAACTTACAACTGAACTGTTAGAAAGCTCTGTCTCAATAATATGACCAACGCAACCATATCCTGAAAGCTTTGCGCTAAAATCCTTGTCAATCTGTATGCTGGCAGTTGAAAATTCGTTGTACATAGCCTGCAGATATACGTAGCATGTCATTCAGTAAGTTCAGAAACACACTTATTTACACCATATTCTAGAATATATGAAAACAATTTGCACATCACAACCCAAGGACTTTATATTATCACCAACACTTGCAACAGTTGCATGTAAAATAGTGGGGCCTATTTTAAGACCATTTGATCGGGTAAAGAAAAATGATGAGTTGAGGAAAAAATGATTTATTTCTTATAGTCATCCATTTGTATCTTGCATCATCGAGTAGGACTACATAAAGTTAAAAGGATATCAAAAGCATTCAATACCACTTGTTTCGTGAGGGAAAAGACAATATAAAGTTCTGATTACCTGAAAAGGCCCTTCTTCATGCAAGAAAGTAAGACCTTGTGCAGCACATAAAGCAATTTTCATTCTTGTATTCCAATCAATCGGGGGCCCATCTGATCTCCCAAAGAGTAGCCGGTCCAAACTTCCATGAGAAAGCCTCTCATAGACCAACATTCTTTGATCTGAACCTTCCCGTGCGTGAAAACCAAGCAATTTACAGAGGTTTGGATGTTGCAAAGATGAAATAGTGTTCACCTCAGTTATGAATTCCTTTAAACCCTGAAGGAAAAAGAGACAGTTGTGACCACATCGTAAGGAAATCATATTTCAAAAACTTCCAAAGAAACACTACACTCTTGCTAATCGCTATTGAATTGATGAAAATCGTAAGCCATAATTGGTCCACGAATTAGCAAATACAAATATCTAATGCATTCTTTCAAGCAAGCATAAAATCAAGTAACAGAGAAGTTGCACTGAAGGTTTTTCAGCCCACAGCCAGTGCGACCACCCACATTAACGGTGTTTTAAGTCATTCTCATTTTGAAAATTAAATCACCAAAATACAATAGATCAAATATTCTTAAGTTACCTGAGTGGAGGGGTGAAGACGAGTAACAGTGGCTTCAAATCTTTTTAAACTTGAAGCATCATCTCCAAACGAAGCCCTATATATTACGGAGGAAAGACCTTCGGACACGCATCGGTCAGAAGAAAAGTGGAGGCAAGCGGATGCTATTTCGTCATAGGAAAAGTTCCGGAGTGTTACTGTTGGAGGTAGTGGCAATGGTTCAGCAGAATGGAGAGGCCCACTAGCAGTAATCGATTTAAAGCTTCCCATGCTTCTTAATGGTGCAGTGGATCCCTGAGGTGATGGGAGAGGAAGAGGTCGTGGGCTTGGAGGCCTTTGTTCTTTCGTGGAGACAGTTCTGTACTTGGGCTCTTCTGCTTCCTCATAGTCCATTGATGAGAGAGCATCTTGTTCTGCCGCATCAAGAGTTGATGGAGCAGATAATGCCCGTGCCCTACTATTTGTGACTCTGCTAACTGGTTGAATTGGCTTCACTCTTGTTCTAAAACTAGGGGGTGCAGACTGTAGTGATCGTGTTTCGATTTTTGGTTCAGGCAATGTCGTGGGCGCGTGTTCTTTAGGATTAATACGTTTGACGTAAACAGGCTGTTCGGCCCTTTTCTTTTTGCTCTTTAAAACTGTGAAACAACCCATATTGTGCTTGGAATTTATATCAGTAATCAGGATGCCTAGCTTTCTGTAAAAACAAGGGAAAAAATGCATGCGACTCAGTTGATGCCTGAAAATGAGAGGGGCACATAACTTAATAAACACAAATTCAAAAGCAAACCCAATGCTTCATGGGAATATTGTGACATCTGAACTTAATACCACAGAAAGAGAAAAAAGGAACTTGAGCATAATTTCGTAAGAGACAAAAAAGAATACAGGCTGTAATTATTCAGGTTGAATGGGAAAATACAACTACAAGAAGCAAGATAAAAAAAAATGAAAAGAAAATAAACACCCCAATTACAGGAATATACACATTCACCATTAAAAGCAATCCGAAACCAAATAGTAACCCGGCTACCAAAATTTAAACGGGAACATGTTAACCAAGAACATGTTCTTCTATAGGAGTTCCCAAATTTAGAAAGCTAGCAGTTTGGAAAAGCTGTATGAGAGAATAAATCCTAGCAATATAAATATGATCAAGCTGATCTCACCACTTGCCACTCAATTTGAAAATGTAATCACTATAGCATATCATCTCCAAGGAAGTGAAGCAATAAGAAATTAAAGCGTATTGAACAGATTGCCATGCGCAACTTTTCATTGTTTCTTCGGTGATATTCCACCATAAATAAATAAAATAAATAAATAAATTCCTTATATATTCCCATTGTGAGCAACTTCTATTTTTTTTTTCTCTTTTGCACCTGAATTCTAAATAATAATTAAAAAAAAAAAGAGCCACCTCTTTTGTTTCAACCACATCACTTAATGCTCAAATCTACAAAAATGCCAACTTGAGAAATTATACCCTACCTTTGAACTAAATTCCAACTAACAAAAAGGAATCGAAATATATAACGCATATCGCAAAATACTCCATTAAACGACGAAAAAAGGTCACACGAATCAGCATCCATATAAGATCCATAAAATTCAAAAATTCACAAAAAAAAAACCCCGGAGAAACCACGATTAAGAATTAACCAAGAACCAGCCAGAGAATTTTCCAAATCCGAGAAATTAACCAGACCAGACTCATCCATTACAGAAGGCGAAACGAAAATCAAGAAAACTGCCGTAAATTACACACCGAGTTGTGGAGAAAATCCGGACAGAAGAAAAAGTAAGAAAAAGAAGGAAAATCGGCGAGAAAATTCTGTTCAAAGTATTGGAAGAAACGAAAAGATAAAGTTTGAAATTACCAGCTCATACAAGTTGGAAATGGATTGTACCGGAGAAGAAATGGTTGGATTTGGAATCTGTGGCTTGGATTTGGTGAAGAAGAAGAAGAAGAAGAAGAAAGAAGAAACCTTTGGCGAGTCAAAGAAAGCAGATGCGAGAAGACGGAGAGAAGTGATGGATTTTTGAGAGAGAAAAAGTAAAAAGATGTGTAATAGGGAATATTGGAAGTAGAATAGTTATAGAGAGAGAAAAAGCGAGGAGAGAGAAAGAGAGAAATGGAGCCAGCAGTGGTCAAACCTACCCAAAAAAAAAAACTCCCCAGATTTTTTAATTACAATTTTTAAAGTGTTCATGATTTTTAAATTTATTCCTAATAACAACGGAAAATCCTTTCATCATTCTTTTTTTGACACTTTTACCCTCCAGGAAACCATTTTGCGGTCCCTTGAAATGACTTCGAACGCCCATAATAGCTATTTGGGTTTTAAAAAATAAGAAGAAAAACAGAACAATCTTATCTTGCCTATTCCAATTAGAAATAGGATTATATTTCTAAAGCTTTAAGAAAAAAAGAAATTTAAATATAACATTTGTTTTTAATTTTTTAATTTTTTAGTTAGTACAAGTAGAAAATTAAATTAAAATTAAATAACATTGTAAGATGATTAAAGAAATGACATTGTAAGGATATTGCACGAGTAATCTTTTAATTCTCTTGTTACAAAAGTAACCAATACCATTTCAAAATCTTATATATTTTTGAAATGTAAAACGCATTTATTATTTTATGTTTGCTTAGAGTTGTTATTTGGAGGCACCTACATTTAAAGATTCAAATTTTTTTCATTTGACTATATATCATTTTGAAATTTTGAATTGTGTGCTGAAAAATCTTATTGGACTATATACAAGTCGTGCAGTCTAAGAAGAGATCTTGTTATTATTAAATCCATTGAGAATAAATTTAAGAAACCAAAGGGTACAATAGTAAATTCACAAACTACCTCGATTTTTCAACGAAGAGCGCCTCGATTGAAGTGACAATCCAGTCAAACTTTAGAAAATATTTATTTGTTTATTTAAGATTATACATATATTTATAAAAAAGGCATGTTCCCAGTGTGGTCAAAGAGACCTATCGAGATAGGTCTTTGACTCTGATTATTCTCCGTCCGATTAGTGTGTGCCGATAGATCGACGGTGGACGTCTGCTTCTTTAAAAGCCACGTGGGACCTACTGACATCAACATTTTTGTCCTTATGAATGAGTAGTTGTTCTTACACGCGCCATGCAAAGGCGTAAAGATGGGATTACTAGTCCCCATTATCAATGGCAAACTGGTGGGTCCCTCTAAAGAACCCCCGTGGGCTCATAACCTCTTTCCGCTTTATACATTACTGTTGTTATTAACTCTCCGTTTGGTTAGAAGACGGAGAGTAAGACGAATAGAGAAGGTAATAGTTCTCATTCATGATGTTTGGTAAGATAAGTCTCCATTCTTTTATTTATAAAAATATATAGAAATATCAACAAGTTTCACTATTTTCGTTTAAAATCACCTAATTTTGATTGAAATTCACCACTTATAAATTTTGTGTTTTTAAACGCGTGAACAGTAACTTTTTTTTTTCCTTTCATTTTAAATCTTTTTTTGGCTACTTGTTTTAATTTTTTTTTTAATTTTAGTTTTTTTAGACTTTTATATATTTATAATAATACGATAATTAAAATTTAATACAAGATTACTGCGTCTTCAACTAATTTGGTATTGAAAAGAGAATAGGAAGATGGATTGATTTTTTTTTGCAAAATTACTACATTGCCCATGCCAATCGATATTTTTTTGGTATTGAACTTTTTTTCACAAAAGTTTAATTAAAAAAAAAAAAAAAAAAACACAACTGAAAGGAAAAGAATTGATGAAAAAAAGAAGTAAAAAAACAAAAAGTCAATCATATTGTTGCTAACGTGAATCAATATTCAAAATACATGCCAATATGTGTAAAAGATATCAAAACCAGTTCCAAAATCTTATGCTGATCTACCATCATATCCGAAATCGTCTCAACAAATTGATCGAGCCTCTCTTGAATTTGTAAACGTATTTCTCTGCAAACGTATTTCTACAGCTTTGAATTTGTAATTTATGAAATCAAATGTTTGTTTTTATGGTCCTTACCCTCTTGTTGCGGCTGACATCAAAAGTGTGTATATAAGCATATGACTATAACAAGTAAACATCAAGTCAGATTCACAAAAAGGTTACATTACAATGATAACGAGTTATTGAAATATTAGATTCAAAATATAAAACTATTACATCCATAAAAACGCTTAATAGTCCTAACCAAAATTACAATATAATTATCATACATATGCAACTATATTTCCAAAATAAGAGATGAAACACTTCTACAAATGAAAGTCTTTCTAAAAACATTAGTCTTGCTACATTCTTTGTGCTATCTCATTTCTTATAGCTGCCCCTTTTCTAGCTTCTTCATCGTAACTTTCTCTGTTATAAATTTCTGTTATCTTTAGATTTTGAGTTACGAGCTCCTCATAAACTTCATTAATTAATTTTTCATCAGGATCTACACCCATGAGATAATTATGTAATATGCAACATGCCAACACAATTTCTGTTACCATTCCAACTGGAAAATGAGGCTCGATTGCACCAGAAATGATAGGAACCCGTTTCAGCACTCCAAATGATCTTTTTATAACATTGCGCAGAGATGCACGTCGATGATTAAACAATTCATGTGGGGTTCTGAGGAGCACGAGCAGAGTACTCTTTAAAATGTTATCGGACTCCTCGATATGGTGTGATAATTAAGTTCACTTTATAATATGTAGCGCGCGTCTACCAACTAAAATTTTCCTATCCAAAGAGATTTATAATTTAGTTTACACCTATACTTATAATAAGAAAAAAAAATGAGTATGACTTAGTGTTACCTTTAGGAATTATGAGCTTATCATTCCTCACGAAAGCAAATTTTATAATTCTTAAGTTCAATGCAGTTCTTTCCCATCCAAGTACACATAAGTGAATCTCATATCAAATCCACAAGTTGCGGTGACATTTTGACTGGTAAGTCTTCTCTCCAATGATATCGTGGTGCTTCATCTTTAGAAACTTTAACACGAACATGTGTTCCATCAATTGCACCCATACAATCCTAAAATTTAAAGAATATTATTAGCATCTAAATTTGAAAAAGAAAATAAGTCCTATTTAAACTGCTTAATTTAGTATTCTTACCTTAAAGTATGGATAGAATCTTTGCCTATTGACTATTTCTTGGGAAACATCAACTTCATTTGGTTGCCTTAAGAATTGATCTTCCAAAGAAATAATTGCCCTTAATACTTCATGAAAATGTCTACTTATTGTCTCGCCGGATCAATGGAAAAAGGACACTGTTTAATTTCTAACATTATGTGCTAACATGTATAAAAACTTGTTCTTTTGCACTCAAACTCAAAAAATTTGGACTCAAGTTCATGTTCTTTTGCAAAATTTAAGTTTGAATTTGAGTTTGAGGTTAAAATCTGAGTTCAAGCTCCCCCTTCAATTCAAATTCTTAAACTCAAACTTAAAATAATGATCAATATTTTTTCTATTCTTAAAAACATCATAACTTTTTCGTTTTAATTCCGATTGAGATGATTCTTTTTTTCTATGCGTTCATAACGAAGAGACAAACAAAACCCTACCCATATACCCTATTAAAATATTTCATCATCATTGAGTTTTTTTAAAAATACTATCTAAATACAAACTCAAGTTTTGACCCACTCAAACACAAACTCAAATAAATTCCCAATTTAAACCATAACTCAAATGTGCACATCCAAACACAAGCTTAAATTAGATTATCAACTCAAACCATACTCAAATACACCTTAACTCAAATCAAAATATGAACTCAAGTCACCCTAACTCAAAAAGTGCAAAAAAGCTTATAGTTAATTATGAGTCTTTTCTTTCCACGAGCCTGTTATGATCTTTTTTCTACATAGAATGCCTGGCAAGCCTAATCTGATTTCGTGAGCTCAATCAATCCTTACTTGAGAAGTTGGGCAGTCTTGTCACGCCCCCAAACCGGGGTTAGTGACGTGAAGGCTTGTTTAGAAACTTAAACCTGTTTAAGAGAGTGATTAACAAATGTTGCAAATATTTTAATTTTTCAAATCTAAAACATCCAGGTATTTCCAAATAAGCTCATGCATTCAAGAGAAATTTAATTTCAAGAAGGATGGTGGAATTTCCAACCAAACCAGTTTAAAACGACGTCCCTGGTATCATGTCAGGAATTCCCACAGGTTTAGCATACATGAATATAAACAAAAGTAAATTTGACATCAACCACAGTCTAGCAATATTTAAGTTTACAATCCATAATCTTTTATACATGCCTTGAGATAAAGGATAAGAGAAAATACAACTCTTCGCTTCCCGAGGTCAAGTCCACGTCACCGGTAATAGCTACATACTCTGCACTACTCCTCGCGTCGCCTAGAGGGGTTTAATACATTTGAAAACAAGAAAAGTAAGCGAAAAGGCCAATAGGATATAATTTTTATAAAACATCGTAAATAAAGGTACTTACGGTCCGAAGACATACACCCGGAACCGGTAATTCCTTTTTAGAATAGGAAATACTCACATAGTAAAAAATGTTTGTATAATGAAAGTGTGCAGCTCATTATACTATTAAACAAGAAGCGGTAAAATGTCTGTCTAGTGAAAAGTGCAGAGCCATAGTTCTACTAAACAAGAAGTGGATCCGTACAGGTTTCGAGACCTGCCCCCAAGAATGTGATTCCCACATCCCGATCTTTGAGGCCACCATGCGTTGTATCATTCCTTAAAATATTTCATTTTAAGAAATGATACTATTTAAAATCTCATTTCTAAAATCATTGAAAAACTTAATAGCATTCTCATACTATTTCTTTAAAATAATGTTTTTTTAAACATGTTTTGTTCTAAAACATTTTCATGGAGCAAAATCATTTAAAGTGAGACTAACAAGGATATGGACAAGAATATCCTACCTCTCGGATGTCAAACTTGGGCTAGCCTTCTGTTCTCCTAGCCTCCGCTTTCTTTAAAGCTTTAATACTTAACCTTCTCCGCTAGCTTTATCACAAAAGCAATATTTTAGGAAATATTTCTCATTCCTAAAACGAATTAAGCTCAATCATGTTTAATTGTTTCCTATTAGTGTGCCTTAACTCAAATCCAAGTTTCATAAATGATTTTATAATTCAGTTTAGGAGTTTTTTAAAAATTGAAATCAAATCCATGAATTTAGTTTCCTATTCCCTTCTTTTTTGTCAAACTTTTTTAACCTTCGAGGTCGCTTTGAGAAACTGTCATGAGATTTCTTTGAAGGGTTACAGGAGCACTTGTTGTCCTTGCATTTAATTGCAAGTAAGACTTTTTGCATGCTTTTTTGAACTTATTCCTTTCCTTCACGGCATTTCTCATTGGTACTAAGCCGTCCTTTATCGACGTAGGTAAAATAACAGTGCAAATTCATAATGTAAATAAATTACTCCAAAGAACAAACAACTTGCCCGCCGCCATACGCATTTGCCATTCCCAATCACTTAAGAATGTTCTCAAACTCTGATCACATGTCTTTGTATCACTCTCATGCTCATCTTAATCCAATTCAATCCCAAATTTTCGTCTTCATCCATTTTACCTCCGGTCTACTTAGTTCCAAATTCTCCATTTCATCCATCTATTAAAAGATGAAAATTGAATCACAACCAAAAATAATATGAAGCAAAACTAACATAATAGCATCAAGATATGACTTTCAACAAGGAAAAAGATCAAATGTTCTAAATCAATCACAAAACAATTTGTTGTGCCAGCAACATTAAATAATATGAAGTCAAAATATCTCAAAAAACACAAAGAAACCATAATAACTCAACAACAATAAAAGTAAACTAACTTTTCATTAAAAAAAAATGTTTCTCATTAATAATAGCACAATTTCACATTGAGTATATATAGCTAAGATGATATAGTCAAACAAATGAAATGGGTCATCTAGTATAATATAAATTCCAGCTAAAATGAAACAACATTCCCATTTCTCAAAATTGAAATTAGGTTGAAGAATCCACAAATGGGCGAAAAGCATTTGCTCAAAAAATGAAATTTAAGTTTAATAGACAGTAAAAACTAGAAATGATACAAATGGTAAAATACATGAATTTATATATTATGTGTCTCAGGTTCTCTATAATAAATTGAATAGAAGAATGCATTAATAAGATGAAAACAAAAGTAAAGAGAAGGTTGAAGTGAAGTTACCTTTTTGTTTATGCTCAATTTTTTCCTCTCAAGAGCGAATCGTAGGACAAGAAGTGGAAGATGCAGAAGAAAGGCAACTCTTTTTGGGTTTCTATTATGCGGTGGGTGAAAGGGAAAAAGACAAAGAAAGTGCAAAATAAAAGAGCATTGGAGGGTAAAATTGCCGTTTTCCCCGCCTAAGAATTTCCCCATTTTTTTTAAAAGCCCCAATCCGTCCGATGAAAGAGGGATGCAAAATGGTGGTCCATTTTCTCTCTTTCCATCTTCTCCCACATCTCCTCTCTCTTCCTATCTTCCTACCAAACAAGTGATTTGGTCCATTCCTTTCCATCCATCCATCAATCCACTGCTAGTAAAATACGTGCCCAAACGACTATTTTTTCGAGGATTTTGGTATTTAAAGGTTCTTTTCTACATAGTATCCGAACTTTTTTGAACTCAAATTGCATATTTTTCCCATATCGAGCATTGAGCGCCCACTTTGTTGAGCTAAACTTAAGACTATTCCTGTTAAGTTTGCAAAATCTCTGATTTACGGATTCAAAATTATAATTTAAAATTATTCTTAATATATGTATATTTTTTATAAAAAAAAAAAATTATTAAAATTATGATTCGAACTATGACACAAATACTCATATTAAGAGGTTATTTGGTTGAAAGATTCATACCTTGATTTGAATCATGGTTCATGGTTCGTTATAATATTTTCTCTTATAAAAAATACATGTAAATTAAAAATGATTCTAATTTATGAACTAAACGTCTCCTAAATTTATAATTTATTATCAAACAACGTAAATCAAAAATAATTTTAATCTCATAATTTTAATCTATGAACTAAACGTCTCCTAAATTTATAATTTATTATCAAACAACAGTTATAAGTAGTCAATCTCTTTGTAAATTTGGTATGGATAGGATAAGCTAACATCTTTAGTTAAATTTGTGGCTCTAATAGATGTGTTGTGCTTTGGATAGCGAATGTACCAATTTGTACTTGACATGATCGGGCCGTACATCGATCAAGATAGTGTAGGAGGTTGGGTTATGATTTACTCAGTGAGAATGGATGTACGCTTATAGCCCAACTACTATAAATAATGTGCACTTTCTCCGCCTCTATCTCATTTACTTAGGGTCCGTTTAGTTCGTTGATTCGAATTTTTAATTTGAGTTGAGATGTGATTTTATGTGAGAACTTTTTACTGTAATAAAAAAGTTAGATGTGATTGTTTGTGAGAACTTTTTACTGTAGTAAAACTTGAATTTTAAACTCGAATCAATGAAATAAACGGGGCCTTAATTACTTGTCAAATTTTAAACTCGAATCAGCGAAATAAACGGGACCTTAATTACTTGTCATAAATCATATACGTAATTTTCTTGTTAGTTGATCACGTATTATTTGTATGTTCATATGAACCTTTTATCAATTTGTGATTAGTACAAACTTTTTGATAATTATAAAAACTTTTCGTCAGTTCACCCCTCTTGAGTATCTATTATTGGGCAACATAAGGCCCATTATAACTCACATGGAGAAGAGCCCAAGCTAAGCAGGCCTAATTCACTTACAATATCAAATAATAAAAAAAAAATTATAAATTTATTTAAAGGGATGTTTAGTTTGAAGATTCAAATTATAATTTGAATCATGATTAATAGTTTGTTACAGTATTTTTTCTCACAAAAAATACACGTAAATCAAAAATAATTTTAATTCATAAACTAAACGTCTCCTAAGTATTTAACTTACTAAAAATATTATTTAAAAAAAATACCTCTTAATTAATTTTAGTCTAAAAAATAAAAATATATGGGTTAATATCAAGAAGTAGAAATTAAAAAAAAAAAAAAACTCCATTTTAAAGAGTATTTTTAAAAATCTCTCAAACAAAATGAAATCCTTTGTCCCTTTTTTTCTGAAGTGAAATGTATTACATTAATCAAAGAGAGGCCAAATCGGCATTAACAATATCCACAATACATTTAGGAATTTCCTCTAAACCAATCCTTTATCCCTTTATCTTTTATCTTTCACTTACTACTAAATGTGAATGCGTTTCGCATGGTGTCGTAGGCAACGCTTTGCATCATTCTTTTTTTTTTTCCTTTCCTTTTTTTTTTTTTCTTTTTTGGCTTCTCCCTTTTTTGGGTTTCGTTTCTTCTGTTCTCTTTTTTTCTTTTCTTCCCCTCTTATACAATCTTTTTCTTTCCTTTTCCAATATGTTACCCTCATAAATATTTTTTCTCTAATTACCTTATTAAATAATTTTTTCTCATATATGTCCTTATTAAACTTGTTTTTTTTTTAATGAAAACGACCCTTTCAATTACATTTTTATATGTACCGAATAAGTAATTTTTGACACACACACACACACACACACACATATATATATATATATATATATATATTTGACATTATCTTGCTTTTTAAATTTTATTTTAGTTTTTAGTTTTTAGTCCTTCCTTCTTTTTTATTACATCTTTTTGGTCCAATTTTTTTCTCCTCACTTTTCTACTTTCTTTGTTGAGAAAATCTATCTATAATCTATAAACTACAATATCTATAATTTATTATTTATAATATACAATATCTATAATTAATTTATAATCTATAATATATAATATATAATATATAATATCTATAATCTATAATTCATGCACTCAGATAACTTCAGAAGAGGAGAGACAATTACAAAATAATAAATAAATTAAATAATTAAGATTTATCATAATCGTTTTCAATGAAGTTCTGGAGAAAAGAAAAAACAACAGAAATGATGGGAAAAAAGAAGTTAGTTTCTCAGTGTATTCCATATAAGAGATGCAATAAATTTCCATAGCAGTCCAGCATATTTCGAAGCGTATCCTTCCATATATTTCATGTAAAGATTAGTAAAATCAAACACTACAGAACATGAGAACGCCATTATTGCAATTGAGAGAACAAGAAACTTATTTGCTTTTACCGATTCAAATTTCTTCAGAAGAAGCAAAGCAATGCATGCCAAAATTCCCAAGAAATATACGAAAATTTCTCGTTTCCGAATCACAAGTCCAAGAATCAAAGCGAGCAAAGAACCAAAACAGATCGGTTTCTGCAAACAAAAAAAAACAAAAAAAGAATACGATCAATGAATCTTACTCTAAGCACTCGAACTTTGTTTCGTGTTTAGTTATCAGATCTGTACCTCTTTTGTGTACTTTCGCAATCGATTTAGGGCAGAATTAGTTTTAGATTTCCGACGATTCGGCCATTTCTTGGTCGTTTTAGATCGGATTTTGCTGAGGATTCCGCGCAATTTGGATTTTAGGGTTTGCTGTTGCGGTTGGGTAGGGATTGAAGGAGAAGAATGTGAATTTAGTCCGAGGAAGAAGCTGTGAAGCTTGAGCAGAAGAGAGAGTCGGTGGAACTTCCATGTGGGTGAGAGTTTTGTTGCGTTGAATTTGAAATTGAAGTTTCTGGCTTTGGCGCGGACTTCGATTCTCCATGATTGTGGATTCTGTTCTGCTTGCATTAATGAGCGAGCTTGTCGATCTTTTTCTGAGAGTGCAAGAGTGGTTGATTTTCACTGACCGTTGAGGAAAGCCTATGAGTTGCTCTAGAATTTGATTTTTGAATCCCAAATGATACAATTCGGGTCAATAATGCGAGTCGGGTCAAGTGGTACTAGGTACTTTTTTGCACGGAAAAAAGAGATAAATACTTCTTTAAATAATGAAAAATCTTTTGTGTTGAGATGAGAATTCATTCTCATAGACATAAAATAAAAGGTAGGCCCTAAATGATGAGACCAGGTGGACTCACAATGGGGTACACGTTTGTGAAAATTTTTATGGGGACACACAGATTTAGGCATAGTTTGGTATTATTGTAAATTTTAAAAAAATTACTTTTAATTGTGTTAAAAGAAAAAATAACTGTTACAAAAAGCAGCTGAGTGTTTGATAAATTGTAATTATAATAGCTGTGCTGGTTCTAAAATCAGTATAATAGCATTTGGTAAATTTTGAGGTGGAATTGCTGTGGGTATGTAAAATGACCAAAATAGACATGGTATGAAACTTAAATATATATAATTGTTTTTTGTATTCAGAAATACTTGTTTAACTTTAAAAAAAACATAATGCTATGATTTTGAATTTTTTAACAATAAATTTATGATAATTAATTCTCTTTTTTTTTTCATTCACAATATAATTACAACTAAAAGGAGCATTAGTGACAATATGACAGGGACAGTTGCAGTCTTCGAGTTGTGAAATTATTTTGTACTCTCTCTTGCAAAGCTTGGCAGGGACAGTTACAGTCTTGATAACGCAACCAAATACCATAATTATCAATTTTGGTGGGGTTCTTTTAAAAAATCTACAAAAAAAAAAAGATAAATTTGTTGAGAAATTTCATACCAAGAAACGAGCTAAGCCAAATGATAATTAATTATAGGACTTCCCAAAAATCTACATTTAATTTGATAAAATTTACTTAAAGAGTTTTGATTATGTTGCAAGAAATGAATAAATTGGTAGGGTACAGAGAAAAATCCGATAGGAATTCCCAACCCCAACTCAAGTTAGGCGGTATAGGGGCGGGGATGGGGAAGCATATCTGTCCTGATGCCATCCCTACACAAAAGACTCATGAACCTCAGTATTGCTAGCTTGCACTTGTAATGAATCAACAATCAATCCAAAGAAAATCTGTTCAATCATGGATACAAAAGAAAATTATAAAGACAAGAAAATTTTCGGTTACAACAACGCTATCGGGGAAAAGAATGATTGATTCATGTGCAAAATTTTGAAGCCTGCCGAATCGACTATTCTAGTCCAAGTAAACTATTTCAAGCTAATGTACTTGAAACAAATCAATTGCGAGCTAACAGACTCAAAAAGCCAAGGCAATGGGGTTACAACATTCAAAATCTAAGATCAAGAATCAAACTTCTCAAACAGTTGAGATCTGTTATCAACCTGCTCGAAAATTTGAAGTTGAGCCAGCAATATAACCCTTCAGTTATAAAGGGATTTCTTGACCAATATTATTTTTTTTCCTATCCATAAATCAGAAGTAAGCTGCCCTTTATCTGCAGGAAAAATCAAAAATAAGTTCTCCTTAGTTTGACTAAGCAGGTAATGAAAAGATGAAAGCAAGAAACGGTAAATACATCATGTGGTATATTGCACGCACTCGGGGCTTAAAAAAAATTACAGAACATTATTCCCATAGACTTGATTTACCAAGGTTGTATAGTTAATATTTATGCAGAAGCCAAGAAAGAATATGTTACAGAGGCAGATGAATCATTTTAAATCCTATAAATAAAAGACAGTAAATGAATTTGGCCTTTGACAGGGGATTACAAAAGCTTCTTGCAAAGTAAAAGCACCTTTATTAAACTTTGCGTTTCACCAACATTAGAGCTTAATAATAGACATTATAAGGTAAATGAACAAGGTAAATAGCCTCAACTTAACCATGTCCAGTACATTTCTTCCCCTTAAAAGATTTAACTTTATGTTAGTACTTGGCATAAGCTTGAACGACAAAAGTTAAAGGCATAACTTATTTATTAAACTAGACAAAATGGCTTTACTTTCAAAAGATCATAGGACACTATTCTTCTGGACATATTATCGATAATAATTCCAAGAGTGGATCATCATATGACTGCCACAGTTCCTATTCTGTCCATATATCTAACAAAGAGTGTGGGAGAAAAAATGAGAATAGGAATATTAATAATTAAAATCAAGTTATGAAATTCTTTTGGAGTATACATGTAAGAAATAAAAATAAAAGAACTACAATGACACAAACACATAAAATAAATTTCTACCGGTCAATAAGTTATTGTATTGTATCCACGTTATGGAAATAAATATGCAGTATTACACATTCTCAAAAACATCAGTTGACAAATTCAGCTCATGAAAGAAACTGTCGGATAAGATGAGAGTCCTAATTCATAAACATTCACAAAAACAGCAAGCAAGCAGACAAATCTAACCTATTTTTCTCCAGAAACCAAGAACGATGGAAATTTGATCCAAGACAAAAAGTCCTAGATTGGATGAGAAATAAACAAACATAGAAACCTATTTGTCTTAACCTATTTTTACAAATGCAGTTGGATCCGAAGGAAACCAGAATTCGCCTAAAACAGCAAAAAGTCCAGAGGCTAACTAAAACCTTCATTATTTTGCTTTTTCACGATGTTTATTATCTAAATTATACCCCAAAAAAACTCGATTTAAACCTAAAACCATATTCTAATGAATCAAAAGATTGAATCTTGGAAACTATCAAATTCTTATATATATAACATAGGCAAAATCTCATTCAGAAGTGAAGTGAATAAACAGGACATCATTTGAAGGATTTCCCCAGCCAATCGACATTCAGAGAAACAAAATCAACATTAAAAAAAAAAGCTCAATCGAGTACTTACAGATGCAGAGATGATGAGTTCCAACCAAATCCGGTCTCAGCCAGCTACGAAATCAAGAAACCTTAACACGAGCAAACCACCAACACCGAGAGAAGAGAGAGAGAGGAGAGACTCCGTCGCTGACAATCGCAGGAGATCCTAGCCGGAAACGGAGAAGGGGTCTGAGAGAAAGATAATAAAGCTAAACGGAGGGAGCTGAGAGAGCAAGGCTGAGGCTGAGAGAGGGCTGAGGCTGAGAGAGATGAGAGATCGAAGGAGCAGAGAGCGAAGGAGCAGGAAGGAGGGGCTGCGAATTTTTTTGATTCAGCAGGGGCATTTTTGGGATAACGAAAATTTCATTAATGTGAAGGAGTAGATTCCCGCACAATCTACAATAAAAAACAAATGAGCTGCTCCTGATTTTAGCCCAAAATAGCTTTAAGATTCTCTAAAAATCCGTTTTTAAAATATTTATCAAACACCTTTTTTAGCTTTAGCTGAACAAAAAAGTGATTTTGGCCTCCAAAAATCTCTACCAAACTCAGCCTTAGTTTGGTTTCAATTTTATAGGCGGTAGCATATTATACATACTACAAAAGGAGGTAGTGATTTTACTATTCTTTGAACAGTAAATTGTCATTTTTGCCTCTCTATTTGTGCGTGTTTTTCAGCCGTTCGATTGATATGAACAAGCAAGATTTATCATATTATGATAGAAGTTTGTGTTGGTGCTAGCTGCCATGCAGTGACAGCTTTTATTGGCCACGTGGGAAGAAAAGGGGGAAGGAAGCATCAAAAATGGAGGCCACGTGTTGATGTAGGAGATAAAGGAGATGTGGGTGTTTGAGTCTAGCATGTAATTTATAATGTAATTTCAGTTAACCTAAAAAATCTATTATATAAGCAGCAAGAAAAAAGTTAAAGAGTATTTTTAAAATAAGGGTAATTAGCATTAACAGTCCTTAACTTCACTGGTAATAGTTTAGTCCATCTTTTTTTAATTTTAACAAAATAGTCATCAAACTCTTAAAGTGTTGATAATTAAGACTTTTCTGTTATATTCTGTCACTTCTAACATGTTTTGAATTGATGATCTATTTTTAATGTTATAATTTTTTATGTGTGTTTTGAGTGCTATCTAATGAAAATGTAAGAGTATACAAATTTATATAATTTTGTACAAATTTAACAATTTTTTATCGATTAAAATTAGACAAAAGAGTGACGGTTGAAGTGTGGCGTGATTTTAATCTGTTTATTTTTAGTAGAAATTTAAATTGAAAAACCACTTAATTGTATTACTCTCTTTCATTTTATATGTTTTTAACAAAATTATTTAAATGAGAACAATTTAAAGTTCACTAAAAAAAATAAGAAAGCAATATCAAAAATATTTGTTATCCAATTTTGTAATCGATGTGCATTCGTGGACACGTTTATTGTACTTACCTCTAACAACATCAACATCTTCAAAAGAAACCCCAACAATTTCAGGACCCTTTACAATCAAGAACGTCGAACCAAGGTGAATTACTCTTCACATCTTCTCTCTTTTTTTTTTTTTTTAAATCTTAATATAACATCAATTATAATATAATAATATTTATTATTATTACAGTCATCACCATCAACTTTTTTCAATACAACATGAGTCAACTTCTTCCATTAGTTCTTTAAGAAAAAGAAAATCAATCAGATAATACTATTCTTTATATATTAAAACAATTATTTCATTAAAATAAAAAAAAATTATTACCATCTATTGTAATGTATTAACAACTAATATTTGTTTTCTGTCTTTCTTTATTGCAACTAAAAAAACGAATAAAAAAATAAAGAAGAATAGTCAGGAAGTCCTACAAAATATATATATGTAAATATATATATATGTATATATATATAATAAGCTTACAACAGTCTGGAAATTAAACAAACATCCGTGCAATTGCACGGATAATCCACTAGTATATTACTAAAATTATCCCCAATTACCACCAATAAATTATTAGATGTCGCTAAGATGTAATTTTCAGTCGCCGGTTGACGATTGCCAATCACCAGCACTGGTGGCTGGTCACCAATCATAATTTATCAGATTTTTTTTTGCAACCAAAAAATGACAAATCATCTCCAGTTTTGACGTCAGTCACCGTCTATAGTGTCGACCAGCAGTCATTATTGAATATTGAGATATTGAATTTGAGTTATTAATTCGAATTAAGATGTGAGAGAGTTTTTTACTATAACAAAAGATGCAAAAAAACCACTTCGTTCTCCACCACCACACGTACAATCTGCTTCTTTCTTATCTTTCGTGCATTAAATGTGGTGTATAATTCTGGAAAATCAATGCAAACCCCCCATGCAAGTGGTGAGTAAATTGAAAGATGCACAAAAACGACGCTTTCCCAAAATTAAATCCCAACTTGTCGTCGTATATCAGGATGTTCCGTGTGGTTTTCTTGAACTTCATGGGCCACATTTCCAATTGGCGAAAGGTCTAAGACCAAACAACTAAAATATAGGGAGGCAGTTAGTGGGTGGTCCATGGTCCACTTATGATTGATGCTTTGTTTGAATGGACTTTGAAACGCTTGATATTTTTAAAGTGCATTTGGACTTAATTGAGCTAAACACTTGCTGAATTGTCCTTTTTCTTCTTGAGGACACTACATAAGTATAAGTATTATTGGAATAAATTGTTTGGTAAATGCATGACTAGAAAGATGAGGAAAATGTAACATCGTCTGTTTGGCAAAAAAAGATTAGGGAAGAAAGAGCGAGACAGATTAGAATCATTCAAGGCTTCTATCCAATAGAAATCAATATATTCAGCAACTGGCAATCCGTAGGAATCTTGTTTTTTATTTCTTTTATTTTTTCCAAAGAAATGATAGAGATTTCTCAGTTGCCATGTTGGAGACAAAAGCTCTCGCTCAAGGACAAGAGTTTTTGAATCTCTTACAAGCATGGATAATCTCCATTAATGAAGAGTAATGCTTTAAATTCTATTTATGACAATATTAAAAAGTTCTTGTCAAGTTTAGTGTCAAAGTACTCAAACGCTATTGTTTATAGGAAGAAACTTTTTCCTCCTTAATCAAATCGAACAGAAAATTATGTTTCATCTTTTTGCATAATCACACAATTGTGTCCTTTCCTTTTTACTCATTCAAAAAGAGCAAAGGAAACAAGGAAAAAGAATATAACAGAGCATAAACGGAACCCTCCAACATCAACCTCTTTAGGACCAGTACGGCACCACTTTTCATCAAGTACTACAGTCTTACAGCATCTAGATAGAGTTTATATACAACAAATTGTCTTTAGCAAAATAAAAAAAATTGGAGACACAGTTGATACTAAGCAAACAAATTTATAAATTAATGCCGAGTGTTTAACATTACTGGTGTCTCAGTAGTATTATTTACTTTACTACAAGAGGGCTAAATTGTTATTCCACATGCAAATTAAAGAAATTTCAACAAACTGGAATGCAATTCCGCCAAACTCCTATTCCATTGATCTCATTTTCTTACATCTCAAACAAGACCAGAAAAAAATAAAAATAAAAAAGATTACAACAATTTGCTCATCATGGCTAGCTACCCTTTATAATCCTACCAGAAAAAAAAAAAAAAAGAAAACACATACCAAGAAACAAACTCAAGCATTTTCTACCTTGCTTTCTCAAAATCTCAGCACTGTGCAACTAGTGATTTGTGAAAAGCCATGCATTTTCAACTAGTAATCCAACCAAGCTAAAGGACAAAAACTAATATCACAATGATCATCATCACTAAGATTTTCAACCAATCAAAACGAGCATTTCTATTTGGCTCCACTCAGAGGGTCCCATACACAAAAAAACAAAAAACAAAAAACAAAAAAGGGACCTCCGTCGGACTCAGAGGGTCCCATACACAAAAAAACAAAAAACAAAAAACAAAAAAGGGCCCTCCGTCGGCCCCGCCATTTCTCTCTCGCCGAGTTAGAATCGGTTAAAAATCAGCGGTGATGATCAACTTGCCTCGTGTACCGTCACGACCACGCTATCTTCCCGGCGGGGCTCATTTTCCGGTGATCGCTCTGCCTCGTGTACCGTTACGACCACGCTATATTCCCGGCGGGACTCATTCTCCGGCGTCCGTTCTCCTTCAACTTCTTCGTCTCGATTCGGCTCCGAGACGACCGTAGTTTGTTGCTGCTGCTGTTCAAGCAGGCAAATCCGGCAATTCGGGCACGACGAGTGTGACAGAAGCCAAGTATCTATGCACCTAACGTGGAATCCATGATTGCATTTCGGCAGCACCCTCACCTTCTCTCCGTCGACAAACTCGCCAAGGCAGATCGGGCACTCGGTCGCCGGAATGCCCGCTCCTGAGCCGTAGACCGCCACGGGAATCTGCCGCAGATGGCTCTTCTTCAGCCCCGTGGCTGCGAGCCTCGCCGCGGCCTGCTGCGGCGTCTCCGACGCGAATCTCCGGCTGCAGCGCAGCGCGCAGCGGAGAATGGAGTTCAGCCCCAGCGCGCATATCAGCGCGCAGAGCAAAGCGGCCAGAATGATCACCATGTTCGTGTCGAAGTTCGACTCGCCGATGTACAAGTCACGCGTTCTGTTTCCGTGGGTTTGCGGTGGAACGGCGAATTCAGCGTCGAGGAGTCGGCGATGTGTAATTGTAACGGAAGACATGGTTGTAAAAGAAGAAGAAGTCATTTGGGAATTTCGTAGAACAGTTGGTGGGTCTGGGAATTTTGCTGGGTTTTGTTGCTTGGTTTAGTTACAGTAATGTTGTGGAGATTCCAGCTAGAAAACGACTTGAAAATAGCATCTTTCTTTTAACTTTCTTGTATTGGATAAATAAGAGAAAAAAGAACGAAATTGTTTGGATTTTCTGCGAATCGGGGACCGTTTCTTTGCGTGCAGTATTCTGGATTGATACTGAGAAATGGTCCTCTTTCTCTAGGAAGATAAGAGGTTAAGACAGACAAAGGAAAAAAGATGATTGAGATGCGAGATTTTTTTTTAGTAATTTCACAGCTTACCTGAACTAAAGAGTACACATTTTTTTTTTTTTTTTGATTATCCTCAGATATTAGGAAGATGACTAACTGACGACACTTGTGGTGTAGAAACAGAGAGTGTGATTGAAAGGTTAATGATTGTGCTTGCAGTTTGTAGTTTGTATTAGTATTGAGAGGTTGTAGTCAACCTTTAGAGACAGATTTGAGATTTATATACAAATGGAGCAACTCATAATTGAGATTGTTATTTATTTTATTATTTTGGAAAAAGAATCGTATAATTAGGATTTAGGGGTACTTTTTTGGGGGGCTAATTAAGTTATTTTTTAAAGTATTTAGAAATTCATACTTTCATCATATTTACAATATATTATCGTAAACTTGTAGCTTGTAACCTTGTAGGTGGGAAATTGATGACGTGAAGTCAGTTAAAAGAAATTAAAAATGATCTTCTAGTGGATTAGTTTGAAGAATTATTCAGGAGACAATCAATCTCAATTGTTGCTTATATGTTTTTCATGTGATATACAAATTCCCACTTGTTTAGGCAAAACAAACAAGTCGATTTTTTTTTGTTGAATAAGAAAAAAAAAAACATATTTAATATTGGTAGCAGGTACAACCGTCTTCTTAAATTTACTCTCCCTTGATCAAAATTTAGAAAAGTTTAATTGAAGGTGTAATTTGCAAGAAGCTTCCTATAAGAAGATCTACACGCCTACATACCACCAGGAAAAAAAAAAAAAAGTAAAAAACTAAAAGATTTTAATTGTTATTGTAAAAGCGTATCCCACAATTAAATTAACCAAAAGGAGATATATCTTTAGCTTGGGATTTTGCCTACCTAATCATGATTTGGAATTGATTTCAAGTCTTAAGATCCTCATAGCCAGTAACAATCTAATCCCAAATCATTTAGCAAAAAAATAAAAAATAAAAAAGAAATCTAATCTCAAATCCTTTGGTTGTACAGTTGTAATGCAGCCAAGTGAATCCAGCGTGGCTTAAACCAATCATAATATTTTTAGCCAAATGATCTGTAGTACGATGTAGATTGCATGCATAGTGGAGATTTTGCTGCCTTTGTCCCATTTGGTTGCACTTTGCTTTTGACATCACATAGGTGGATAAGTATGACAAGAAGATGGGAGAGTAAAAGCCCATCATCAACCTCAAAAATATCTCTTACTTTTTCTTGCCCTTTTTATCGCCCACTAAGATAATTATGATCATGCATTTGAACTGATATTCCTCTAATCCATGCTTAGGTGACTTTAGTTAATAGTTAATAATATCCCATATAATATAATTTAAAGAAAGTTGAAGAACATTAAAAATAAAAATCTTATATTACTAGCGTTGAGGATAAATATATTACCCTTGAAGGTGACCTCACATTGCTTCACAACCGTTAAATTAATTAGGTCTCCCCCTTATCTAATCCGACACTATTATCAATCATGAATCCTTAGGATTGACTCAAATGCAAAAAGAGGGGAAAAAACATTTTGGGTTGATTATTAATGAGTTGTCACAGTTTAGAATTTGTTACAGGATTTTATGTTATATTTATTTGGGTTATGGATATTGTAAACTTTGACTTTTTAAATGTTATTGATAAATGATGAAGATTTTATGTTGTGTTTTATTTTGTATGGATGTTTAATAATTTATTAATTTTAAAGGTTGTAATTCATGAACTTCGTGAATCTAAACCGTAAAATTCGATAGGTTTTGAATTGAATTCGAAAAGGTATTTGATCGGACACGAATTGAGATTTTCTTAATCCAAAAGGTTTGGATTGGATTACGAATTGACCTTTAATCTGTGAATTTCAGTCCGTGAACACCCCTAGCTACATTAGAAAAACACAAAACACTCTTAATTACTATTAATTTTTACCCCAGCTAAAAATTGACACGTAAAATAGAAGTGTCAAAAGGGCCGTGCCGGGCCAACCAGGCCTAAGACGGGCTTGGGTCGTGCCTACAGTACAAGGTCAAGCCTGAGGAGAGACCCTAGGCCCAGCCCTGGCCCCAACTCTTGTCCTTTAGGGTTAGGGCCAGGCTACTAGACCCGACCCTGTAGGGCCTTCGTATTGTGCGGCCCTTTAAGGTCTTTAGTAGGTCAACCCAGCAAGTCCGATCCACTTTAAAATTAATTTATTTTATTTTATTTTTATATTTTCAGATTTAAGGATAAAAAAAGAAATTAAAAAGTAATATCATATGCCCAAAAAGATGTGATTTTATTGAAATAATATGAATCATTACAAAAAAAGAGTGAAATAAGTATAAAATATAAGGATAATTAAATTACATTGTGGCCGAATTGCTTCACGAGACTGAGCCCTTTACGGGCTAGTGTCGTGCCCGTGTTACGACTTCATAGATGAGGCTCAACCCTGGCCCTTCAGGCATGCCGAGCCAACCCGACCTGCAACAATATAGGGCTAGACTGGGCCGAATATTGTGTTGTAGCAGGCTGGGCCGTCCATGCCCGGTTGATACCTCTAAGGTAAAATAGAATGAATTCGCATGTTATAATTTACATTAATGAAGAGCTTTTTGCAGCTCTCCATTGTAGTGTGAATGTCATATTTAAGCATTTGAGTAGAAAAATTACTCTCTAATATAATACTATTTTTTTTGTTACATTTGTCCTATGATATACTTGGTACCAAAATTGACGTCAAATATAACATTTTTAAAATTTTTAAATTTGATTTTTGATTGAAGTGTTTACTTTATTTAATCATTTCAATCATTACAATATTCTTTTTTTCAGATTATGCGTCAATATATCGGTAAGTTATGTTTTTAATTTGTCAAATGTGCATAAAATCATGAAAAAATAAAAAAATACGTAGATTTAAATATTAAAAAAACTTAATTTACTGGTACGACAGACGTACGAGAGAATTTTTCATTTTTAAAACTAAAGGCTCACTTTTATAAGTTTCAAAACTCAATAATCATATTAAAAAAATAATATCGATATGATATTGAAATAATATTATTCATTGGTGTTAACTGTTAATGATTAAATAAGATTAATAGTATGTTTTTTTAGACATGCATCCCAAGCACTTGAACCAACCATGACGATAAATACATTGAAAGCAACTCGTGCATCAACTAAACACAAATTGAATCTTGAAACTAAAAAATATTTACTTTTCAATAAAAAAGACTAAAATATTTATGCAAACACCACCAGAAAATTCTCAAATTAAAAATAGTGAGATTCTCTAGTAAGACAAGAAAAATAAATTATTAATAATTTTTTATTTTTTAATTATTAAATATGTATTAAAAAGTATATGTTTTATATAATTTTTAATCTGATGTGATTTTAACTAAATTAAACGGTTAAAAATTAACATTATTGATCGAAAGAATTACTAAAAAGAGTCTCTTAAAAGGACATTTTCTGATACATTAATATATTAATAAGTAAAGTTTTTTATCTATTAAATTTATATAAAATCACATAAAAATTAAAAATATGTATATTTAATAATTAAAAAAACTTAACTTATTAATATCTCAGACGCACTAAAAAATCACCCAAAATAAACACCACAAAATAGATGTTGTATCTTCTGGCAAAAAAAAAAAAAAAGAAAGAAGAAGAAGATGTTGCATCCAAAACGTGGAGCTTGTGAGGCAAAAGGGCGGGTATGCCCGTGAAAGCTGGTACAAGAATGACGAGTCCAATACGTGTTCTTTCTTTGTGGATCCCATCGAATGAATATTAGATTCGTATTTGCCTCTTCTTGAGACCCAAAAAAAAAAAAAAAAAAAAAAAGGATTGGTATGTGTCGTTTTTTTCTTGGACGCGCGTAACCCTTGGGATCTTTCAGATAATAGGTAATTTGCTTCTTTTTTTTTTTTTTTTTGTATTTCTTTGTTTGAAGGTAATTATTATTATTTTTTTGGTTTGAAAATGGCTATTTATGATTGATGTATGGGAATTGAACTACTCTTGAAGGACCACGTAATGACTAATGAGTGCAGTTGGGTTTGGTGGGAAAGAATGGAAAACTGTTGGCAGTTGAAACAAAACTCGGTCCTTTATAGCTTTTAAAAACTAAAAAGTGGATGTTCTCAGCAACCTGAACCAAATCTTGCCCAAAGTAAACTTTTTACTTTTTAGGTAATACTAATCTGGTCCACGTGGTTTGGTTTAACCAAGTCTAGGGTGATTTTGAGTGCCACATTTCTTTTATTAGTTCAAAAGTTCAAATTGTCTTAGTCGTTTGATGTAAAGTATTATCATGTTTTCTCAGCAAAAAAAAGGTAATATCATGTCTGTTCTTCGAAGAATTATATATGACCGAGTACAAAGATTTATCTGTTAGTAGCGCACAGTTTTGAACCATTAATTTTCGTAAATTTGTTGCATTAGTAATGTACAGTTTTGAACGCGCAGGTTTGGTATATTGGTTTAGATAAGTGGTTTTAATTATGACTTTTAAATTTTAATTCTTTTTAGAAAAAAATATTATAGCAGAGGTAAAACCGTACATTTTTTAACCATTAATTTTCGTTGTGTTGAATTAAAATTTCATACGATTTTTTTGTTTGTTTTGTTTTTAATATAAATAGGGTTGATCAGCTGGTCCGAATTTGTGTAGTTTTGAGTGGTTTTTTCCACATAATTTGTCATTATTGCTGTTTGCATTTGACTTAATGGTTATTAGAAACATGTTGACTTAGGGGCTATGATTTTTCATTTTTCATTTTTCATTTTTCCAAGGCAGAATTCGTTCAACAGCCTAAGGCCTCAAAGGAAGACAAAAGCTAAGGGATATATCGGTCGTGTTTGGAATTGATACTGTTTTTGTTTTTCATGTTTCTTAAGGAAGAAAAAATTGAAAACGTTTTTAAAACGGTGTTTGGCGCAATAAAGATAAAAAAATAAATGAAAATGATGTTTTGGTTTAGTGTAAAATGAGCGAGAAATGAAAAACGACTTTTAGTCGTTTTTCATTTTTTATTTTCGTTTTCTTCTCTCTCGAGCACAGAGAGAAAGAAACATTAATGAGTTTTTTATACTGAAAATAATCTCTTGATAAAACTACTAAACACATTTTTAAAAATGATTTCTGTCTAAGATTGAAAACGTTTTCATTTTCATTTTCATATAAAAAATAAAATTATTTTAAAACGAGTTCCAAACGCGCTCTCATTTCTGGTGTTGCTTCCTTCCCAACTCCCAGTTGTTTTCTTTTGGTGTTCTTTGGCTTTTCTTTATTCCTGTGTGTTTTGTTTCAATGAACCCAAAATAATTTTTTTCTCTCTTTCTTTTAACAGCGGCATCATCGTCATCACCGTTGCCGCCAAAGGTTCTCCCGCTCTATCCTCACCACGTTCTTTTTTCTTTCTGTCATTTAGCGGTGACTGTCCCCGCTAATAAGTGCATTAAAATGCACCCTAAATACTGCTTTTAATTTATATAATATTAAAATATTTACGATTTAATTAAACAATTATATTATTTTTATTCATAATATTTTTTTAATTGAAATTTATCTATTTTTTGCTTAATTATTTACAAATGAAAGCAGTGTAAAAAGCTAAATAAAAAGAAGCCATAAAAGTCATATTTTCAATCAATTCGAGCAACACAAGCAGATCAAGGAGAGAGAGCCGCACCACCTCAGTTGAACCGTGTGAACCTATCATTCAACGCGGAAATCCGCACCTAAAAAAAGTTAAAGACCATATTCTTAGCATAGGAAGACAAATTCATATCATTCTTGCTATACATTGCAATAACTGTGTTTATTCTTATGGTTGTAGTGTTACAAAGTTGCCGAGGCTAACTAATAATCATATACTATTTATAACTTCAGATTGACTGTAATTTTTTTTTAATTACATTTTTCAACTCAAACTCATTCGGCTGTCAACCCCTTCTTCTTTTTTTGTTTATTACTCATTTAGTGTTAATTAAAGTGAGAAAATGTATTTTAAATAGTGCACTTTTAATCAAAACGACTTAGTTTTGGTTGAAAGTGTACAACTTTTTCATTTTTTTTGAGTCTTTTATTTTAGGTCATTTTTATTTTTCATCCTAAAACTTATTCATTTTTTTATTTTAGTCCTTTTAACATTTTATTTTTTATTTTTGTCCTAAAATTTTATTTTCATTTTCATTTTGGTTCCTTTTGCCTTAAAATTTATTCATTTTTCCCTTTTAGTTTTTTATTGACAATGTTTCTTAGCTTCTTACCCTAAAACTTACCTATTTTATTTTATTTTTTTACTTTTTGTCCTGAAATTTTTCCATTTTTTTTTGTTTCTTTTGTCCTTAAACTTATTTATTTTTTCATTTTAGTCCTTTTTTACATCTTTTTTATTTTTTACCTAAAACTTTATTTTTTTTAAATTTGGCTCCTTTTGCCTTAAAACTTATTTATTTCTCCATTTTGTCCTTTTTTGACTTTTTTTTTTATTTTTTTCCAAAAATTTTATTTTATTTTTTGTTTTGGTTCCTTTTACTCTAAAATTTAGTTATTTCTTCATTTTTGTCTTTTTGACCCTTTTTTTTTATTTTTTTTCCTAAAACTTTATTTTTTCACTTTGGTTTCTTTTGCCCTAAAATGATATTTAATTATTCATTTTAGTCATTTTTTTGGCTTTATCTTGGCTTCTTGCCTTAAAACTTATTTGTTTCTTATTTTGGTTTATATTCAGATTTTATATGTTTTTAATAATAACATGATAATTAGTTAATTATAACTTAACAGATTACTTTCCACGTGCTTTTCACGTGGAGTTCAACTAGTGTGTATCTATAACATGCATAATTAGATGAAAAAAATTAACTAATTATATGTATTTGCATTTATTTATATTTGAGTTCATCATTATCTTTGCATAATTGTAATAATTAGAACCTACAAATTATTTTTTTAAGAAAATATATTTACAAAGAGCACGGCGTAAAATCCTCAACAGGGAGTAAATTTTGGGATTTGAATCCCAACCCTAGCCCTACCCGCAAAAGGGAAACCTTATGGGTGCGTTTGGAATTGATTCCAAAACGTTTTTGTTTTCTGTACGAAAATGAAAATGAAAACGTTTTCATTTTCATTTTTGAATTATTTCTGAAAATGCGTTTGGTAGTTTTATTTAGAGATTGATTTCAGTTTTAAAAAAAAACTGAAACTACGTTTGGTGGTTTCATTTTTGAAAACATGTATTTAATATATTAAATAAATAATAATTGAATCACAAATAAAAACACTAATAATTAATAAAATATGGAAATTACAATATTAGCTTAAATTATTGTCGCCTATACGAATCCCACATTTGATTAGCTAGATGATCCCTAAAATTAACCATGTAATTACGTTGTTGCCGACCACCCATTTCAGATGTTTCTGCTTCTTGTGCATCCATACCATGTTGTTGTTCCTGTTGCCCTTCTTGTTCTCCCTCAATATCTTCTACGGGCAAATCGACCTCATATTGTCTAAATAGAGGATCATCTCGCGCGTGCATCTTAATTAAATTGTGGATCACATAACAAGCTATTGGTATAACATTTTGTCTTGGCATCCAATAATTGGTCATATGCCTAAGAATTTTAAACCTTGCTTTCAAGACCCCAAAGCACCTCTCTATGCAATTACACAGTGAAGAGTGATAATAATTGAATAACTCTTGTGGCCCCGTTGGTTGACTACCATTTCTAAACTGTTGAATATGGTACCTCTGACCGCGAAATGGTGCCAAAAAGGCGCAAAGAATGGGTCATCTGGATCTCTCATAGTCTCAGTTAACACTCTGGAATCAGCAGCTGATCCTTCCCATCCGGTATTGACATAAGTGAATAGCATATCAAAACTACACGCCGCCATTACATTTTGAGTGCATGAATGTCTTCTTCCTCTGTAGACTGTCTGTTGATGTGCAGGTGGGACAACCATCATGTGTGTACCGTCTATTGCACCAATACAATCCTATTAAAATACATAAGGCGTGAGTTACGATTAATTTAAAATTATTTGTCATATTAGTAGTATCTGATGAGAGTCAGATTGTACCTTAAACCATGGCCAGTACTTAGGGTTGTGTCGAATCTCTGGGGGGACAATGTTCATATTTGGTAGTTTTATAACTTGAGGTGCTAACGCAGACAATGCGGTAAGTATATTATTAAAATGCCGGTGTACTGTCTCTCCAGAATGACAAAATCTATCTTGTATCTCTCTATTGCGATCTGAGTGAGCAACCGTTCTTAAGAACATCATTAGAGATTCTTCTGCTGAAATACTTGAAGTAGGCAGTAGATTGCGGCCTCGAATTAACTGAACAATTGCTTCGAACGTGTCTCGATGCATACGACACATTTCAAACAAATTTTCGGGATGTCCATGTAATTGTTCTAAAACATATTCTCGTCCTGTTAACGCAGAATTATGACGAGGTTGCCCAGTTTTAAGAACATCATTAGAGATTCTTCTGCTGAAATACTTGAAGTAGGCAGTAGATTGCGGCCTCGAATTAACTGAACAATTGCTTCGAACGTGTCTCGATGCATACGACACATTTCAAACAAATTTTCGGGATGTCCATGTAATTGTTCTAAAACATATTCTCGTCCTGTTAACGCAGAATTATGACGAGGTTGCCCAGTTTGTCTGTTTCCAATCGACATCAATAATTGGATATAATGTTGTTGTTGTTCATCATCATCTGATGACTGGAGAAAGTCAACAGCTCTAGCATCATTCTCACTATCTGAATCCATATTAACCTAAAAAATGAACCAAGACTGGAACTAATCAAACATCCATATAACATTAACTAATCAAACGAATAACTCCAATGTAATTCAATCCGACTAAAAACAAATAACAAACTCTAACAAACACTTGTCCAAGAGGAAAATCTGTTGTACATGCTCAACAATACTTAAAAAAAAACCATACGTCCGAGAGGAAACAAATAAAGAAAACAACACAATAATCATTTAAACTACAGGCTTCGAATCCATGAAAGATGACGACAAGCGGACATTTTCACAAACATCTTCCTAAGGGAAATGTCAACCGCCAACTGGTGCGCTGCCTTAGTATACGCATTGTCGTCTAAATACTCCCCATACTCATTCAGCAAATCCATACAGGTTTTAATACTTGTAGTTGGATCCTCTTTCTGAGCCTCGACTAATGCCATAGTACGGGCTTGCCTATCAACTAAATATTGCTAAAACAGATCAACCTTTTGAACAGATGTCTCACTACGTATGGTAGCACTCTTTGCCAAAGCCTCTATAGCCGCGTCAACTGCACTGTTGTTCTTGCCCTTCTTCTTGGATCGAGTAGTAGGACCCTGAGACCGTCTGTTTCTATTATCTTCTGCACCCCGGATTTCATCCGAGTCCCCTGTACCCTCCTCCACCTCTTCCGGTTGTGTGGCTGCCCTTTTCGCCGCATTCAAAACATTAACGGCAGTATGTGCATTCATTGACCCCTGTCCAGTAGCAATAGTCCCAAAAAAAATCTGTGAAAGTTGGGCAAAGTTCTGCAAACCCCCTTTCTTGAATTTCTTACCCTCAGGATGTTTCTGACATTATAAAGAAAACAAGAGTAAATACTCATGTGCAATCCAAACACCAATTCAACTCTTTCATATAACATAAGATGTTAATGCTCAAAACTTACCGCCACATATGAATCCCATACTTCTTTTTCAGCTGTGACAGTGTTAGCCTCAGAATCCCAACCAAACCTTGTTGCTTCAATTAATGCCTTAAACTCCCTCGTGCTACGTCTAAGCCTATTCCATGTTGCTTTAAGTTGGTCTGACGTGAAATGCTTACCAAACTTAAGTGCTATTTCATTAGCAATTTTCATCCATGTTTTCTTGTCCAGAGTGGATGTTTGCATCCCAATCTTTGACTTTTCGTATATCAGTTCTACATAAAAATCCTCAATTGCGGCCGGCCATTTCGTATTATCGTCCTTATCACACATCTAAAATAACACTTTTAGCAATTAAAATAAATGTCAATTTGTAAAGTATATGCACACACACAGACACAGACACACGCAGGGTCTGATGGGGGCTGATAATCAGCCCCCAATGGGGCTGATGGGGGCTGAAAATCAACCCCCATTGGGGCTGATTTTCATCCCCCAATGGGGTTGATGGGGGTTAAAAATCAGCCCCCATCAAGGCTGATAATCAACCCCATTGGGGGCTGATGGGGGCTGATTTTCAGCTCCAAAGGGAGGCCCCTAGGGGCTGATGGGGGCTGATTTTCAGCCCCCATTGGGGGCCTCCCAGGCCAGCCCCAAAGGGAGGCTGATGGGGGCTAATTTTCAGCCTCCATTGGGGTTGATTTTCAGCCCCCATTGGGGGCCTCCCAGGCCAGCCCCAAAGGGAGGCCCCCAGGGGCTGATGGGGGCTGATTTTTAGCCCCCATTGGGGGCCTCCCAGGCCAGCCTCATAAGAAGGCCCCAGGGGTTGATTTTCAGCCCCCATTGGGGCTGATTTTCAGCTCCCATTGGGGGCCTCCCAGGCTAGCCCCAAAGGGAGGTCCCCAGAGGCTGATTCAGCCCCAACGGGGGCTGATAATCAGCCCCCATTGGGGCTGATGGGGGCTGATTTTCAGCCCCAAAGGGAGGCCCCCATGGGCTAATTCAGCCCCAACGGGGGGGCCTCCCAGGGGCTGATACAGCCCCAATGGGAGGCCCCCAGGGGCTGTATCAGCCCCAACGGGGGCCTCCAGGGGAAAAAGAAAAAAAAACAGAAAAAACCAGATCAGATCAAGCATAGGATAGAAAAACAAACACCAAATCAAACGGAAAACAGCAACCGATTTGGTTGAATATAGCAAATCAAACGGCGAGACAACGGAAAAGAAAAATAAAAAAATAAAAAAATAAATTGCTCAACCAAATCGATCGGAAAATCAAACACGTTCAAACATTTTTGGCTAGGGGCATACCTCGGTGAGAAAACGGAGAACGACGCAGATTGGGCAACAAGAGACCGGAGGAGCTCAGGCGAACGGAGGTGCTCCGGTGAGAAGCAAACAACGCGACTCTTGGGCGAGAAGAACGCCGGGGCTCGGCCGGGAAGAAGAGCTCGCTGAAGAAGGGAAGGGAAGAAGGAAGAAGAGCTCGGCTGAAGAAGGGAAGGGAAGAAGGAAGAAGAGCTCGGCTGAAGGGGAAGAAAAAATCGAAGAAGGAGAAACGGGGGAGGACGATCGAGGAAGAAAGAAGGAAACCAAAAATGTAAACAAGAAAATGAAAACGGATTTTTTCCGTTTTCAAAATTCCGGAAAACGACAAAAACATTTTTGTTTTTGTTTTCTGACACAAACTTCTCCAAACATGTTTTTTGGCTCCGTTTTCAATTTTTTGCTTCGAAAAATGTGAGAAATGAAAACGGAAATGCTAACAAACAGGCCCTATAATTTGCATTGCCAACGCATAAAGAATTTTAGAAAAACAAGCAAACTAACTAGTTGGAGAGTAAAGGATGGAAAATTGGGAACCATGACTTCCACTCATAGGTAATGCGGTTAATGAGAAGAATTCCTTGGATCCATTTTGATTTATTTATGTCACCAGTTAGTTAAGCCGTATTTGGTTTGCGAGTACGAATTGTTGTAATTTGAATATTTTATGTTTGAATTGTAGAATCTAAATTGGTAAACCATTGTAAATGACGCATTTAAATATGCAATATGGCCGATAAGGACTTGTTCTTCTCTTTATTCTAAACACATAGGAAAAAAAAAACATCTCAATTGGAGTTGAAATGAAGAAGTTATGATATTTTTATGCCTGAAGTTGAAGAAAAAAAAGTAAAAAATAATTGTGTTTGAGCTTTTAATAACTATCTAGATTGTTGAATTTAGGGGGGAAGCAGTAAATTCCAAAATCAAAAGCTCAAATTTGTGGTTGGTGGTATATATGAATGGCTCCTACTTATTTTTAAATCAAACACTAATTTAAATCTTTGAGGCCAATTTGAATCAAATTGTTTAGTTCAAATAGATGAACCAAACAGGAGGTTTTAGTTTTTTAATATTCAAGAATTTTCATATTAGAAATGACTATCGTTTTGCAGGTTCGACTTTTGGCAATTCACTCGAAGTGAGGCCTCGAGTTTTCAATATTGATCGCATGTCAAGTTCGATGTCTCTTTCGATCGAAGTTTCAAGTCAAGAGTCGATATATTAGAGACATCTTGATGGTAGCTTTGCAGTTTGGTCTCAATCAATCGATGTTGGAGTCCTCTGATGGTTTGTTGTTTAATCTCAAGGGATTTGCTCTCCAAGAATCGAGAGGAAACAGTCACAATTTTTCCAATTTTACTACAAAATTGGAGAGGAAAATTTTTATAAAGATGTCAAAATGGGTTACTTGTTTGTTTGGTACCATGTGTTTTAAGTTTATTATTGATAAAAAAGTACACCTTTAATTTTTGATCTTATGAAATGTACACCCTTCATATTTTATTTAACGATAAACTTTATAAATACCCTCTAAACTTTGTATCCTGTTCAATATCTCCAAATTTTAAAAATGGTTCATTTCGGCCTTTAAATTATGAAAAATGATTCAAAATAAACTATGTTATCTAATAAATACTCTTCATGCTATTGATTTTGTGTCAACTTACCCCTTGATTTTTAAAAGAATTAGGAGACGAGAGCAAATTGACACAAAAATTAAAATTTAGGAGGTAAATTGGCTTAAAACTAATAGGTTGGGGGCATTTATAAAAGTTCAAGTAGTGTCGCGTCATTATTTTGTCAGTTTTATGAAATGTAGGAGATATTTTGAGTTGGTGTACATAATTGATGGGATAAAATGAATCCTTGTTAAACTACTTCTTG